TTCATTTCTGCGAGTATTCTGTCGGTTTTCCATGAGGAACGCGGAGCCCAGATGACAATATGCAATCATACCTCTTACGTCGGCGCTCCTTCGTGTCTTTTAAATCATCCTTGTCCTGTTGTATACGACGCATGTACCAGGATAACATGGCATCACCTTCCTAGAGCGATGTGAGAGCGCGATCAAACATCACAAAGAAGACGTCTTACGGCTCTCATATGTAAAGCAATCTCCTCATTATCTGACAAGAAGACTTTCAGGTCTTCTTCACCGTTGGGCAACGCCTTCCTGGACGCTAGCTCCTTTATCATGAGCTCGGCTTCGAGTAAGAAGTAAGATCGGCCTTTGTTCTCTCTACATTTTAGCTCCTCATTGGATGGTTCAATATCAGACCCGTCATGGAACAACACTGGTAGGGGGCGACAGTGTCAGAATCGCGTCAACCCAAGAACCTACACATACTTCTGCCAATCGTGTAGCTGGTTCCAGGGAGTGCTGAAAAGACTTCGTTTGGGGCGTTCTGGACGCGAGACTGGATTTGAAATCCCATGTAGATTCTGTAGGAATGCATCTATCAAAAGTCAATCAAAGGCCACAATAGTGACTCACAGTTTACACCGACAACTTGTACATAATCGGAGGCGCAGCGCGTATTCAGGGCTAATGGGCATAGAGCGACTTGGTTCTTGCAGGCATTTCTGGAGGACTTGTAAGCGCGGAGAGAGGCGAAAGCGTGTCCAGTCGTACCATGCAGAATTTTTCGAAAATTAAGCTAGCATATTGTGGGTGAGTCAGATCCCGCGGGCACTCAGGCAGGTCCGGGATTCGTTCGAGAACACGCTTCCAGACTCCCAGCGCCGTCTTGGACATGAAAGTCGCTCGGAAGCGGAGAGAGGTACGGGCAAGGTTGAGCAAGTCCACTGGGGTGAGATGAGACGCAATCTACGACAGAACAGCCGTTCGTGATCCTTGTGAAAGATATGGCGCAATGTCCGACGCACCTCGAAAACCACGTCAAGCGGAAGGTCCAAAACCTCCTCCAGTGTCTTTCTCGCTTTTCGTCTGGTAGTTGCATGCAGGGGCTTTCGGGGTGCAGACTTTCCTGTCGCAGTTGTAATGTCTCCCGGCGTGCAGAGGAGAGCCAGACGATCTAAGCACAAGGTTAGACCGTGACTATGTGGGCCTCGAAATGCCTTCAAGCATACTCGAAATAAACGGCTTCGGCTCGTGTTGCGGTCCCATCAGAGTATTCGGCATCCAGAGAAGAAAAAGGATGAGATATGAGAGCTTGGCAAATTATAGCGGGTAATGGCAAGAAAAGAGTCGTTGCGAACTCGCGCATAGAGCCGGACGTTGCTGTGACAGCGCGTGTTGTCACGGCTCATTCACATGATTCATTTGGATAGGGGTGTAATTGGAAAAGCTGCATAGCTGGAGAAAGTAAACTACGAAAGATAGTAGTAGCAATAGTAGTGGTAGTGGTATACCGGCAGGGTCCAAACGCTGAACACCGGTTTTCCGGGAGTAACCGCGCCAGACTGCGGCCCTGTGCACTTATACCTTACGAGCCGCATCGCCTTTAAGATCCACCTCACGGTATAGTAAGCCCAGAGCAACGAGACTCGAATATCCATTCACAGGGATGATGGGAGAAGTAGATTGGTGGGTTTTGCATGCCACCCCACTCCAAAACGCGGAAGGATGCTTTTTCAAATGCGCTGTTCACGTCCATATGTACAACTCGATACAACATAACGTTCTGCGTCGAAAGCTCTTGGGCTACAGACCACTCTTCCAACTCCTCGACACTCAGGCCTTTAAGGCCATGAAGACCCGTGTCACATTATCTGGTTTCGGTAAGACCTCGAGCGGAACCGCACGCTTATATGCAGTCTGCGGATTCCGGAAGGAAGCGAAGGGCAACAAACCTGCACCTCAGGATTACTGGAAGCCAGTATCTAATGAAAGTCAGTAGGACGATAAGTCTCGAATAAGACTTAATATATTAATACTTACGTGATCAACGAAGTTTGCGCCTCCCTATAGAATCCAAACGCCAGGAGAGCTTTGTCGAGTTAGAGTGTAATCTTGTCCGTACTAAGTAGCCAAGACCACCGAATTAAGGGCCTTAAGGGACGCGTCGTTGGGCACAAATATCACGTAATCCACACTTGTAGGATAGGCGAGAGGAGACACGACTTCACCGGTTACGTAGCAAAGACATCAGAAAAAAAAAGCGCCCATTTAAATAAGGCACACTGCCTCCCAGAAGAGGTACGTGACATCAACACACGTCATCGATCCAGCATTTCGCCAGCGCTGTTGGGGCGCACAGAGACCCTCCGCCAAACCTCTTCGTTGGACTCAGGCGTCCAAGACTTTATAAGGACGACGGGGTAACTGGCGCACAGACTCCACTTCGGCATTAGTGAGAGCTTCACGGACGCCTCAATTAGCTGGGGAAATCAGATAGATGACAGATATCCCCCTCATAGCTTGTAGGTGAACCTCAATGCGATCGCTTTCTTCAATGGAAGCTTCCTCTCTGGTCTTGTCACGAATAAAATTCATCGCTATAAGTAGGTGACGCACCAGCCATCCGCGTGAGAGTCGGGGGTTATCAGGCGCCCCAGGGCCTCCTCAATGAGTGTCGGCAGACGACTTAAACGATGAGCGCTTGAGCGCTAGAAGCCTTCACGACTCTGAGTCCTGACATCGAGGTTCAGGACTCTCCTTTAACGAACATTGGTTAAATTGGAACTTTAATGTAAGCATCTTGGATAGCCCTTCGAAAGACGCATATGGGTCACGAATTCAACTCCCTTTCGAGGGATCCAGGGTCAATTACATAAAGCTCATGATTCGTGAAGGGGTTCTCCTGGCGGATGAGTGATTGACGCGCATCTTTCTGCGTAGATCATTAGGCATTCACGCTATTGGCGCGCAGTACTTTTGGTAAAGGAATCCCCTGAAGCGGCTCTTCCGCGAATCGCGATCAGTGGCTGTTCAGCTGGACCCCGAATGTGTTACCCCTCTTTTCTATATCCTCGCCGTCCTCGGAGGCGTATCGAAGTTCGCCGCATCTAACTTTTAGGTGAGGCGAATTTAGCTGCCCTAAGTATGAGGCCTAATTGGCGCCCGTAGCTTGAGCTCTCCTAAGCAGTGAGTCTCATGCCCGAAACTCGATTCCCTAATTAAACACAATCCTCCGGGGTCCCACTTGATTTTCCGGAAGAGGTTTTCCTTTCTTCCGCCAACACCTTGATCACGAACTACCACCGCGACGAGCTCATGCGGGTCGTCGACGACAGCGGCACCCACGACATACGACAGAAGGCATGCCCACGGTTAAACTCGTCGTAATTGGGTCTTCTGGCGTTGGAAAAACCAGTCTCCGCGGCAAGGTCAGTCTCCAGGCTCTGATAAACCTCCTGTACTGACCAACAAACACAGTACATCTCAGGCCGTTTCTCGAATGGCTACCGGGCGACCATTGGAGCTGACTTCATCACCAAAACCCTTCCACACCCTACGGACCCAGAGCAGATGGTGACGCTGCAGATCTGGGTGAGCGGAGCCTAGTTCCTCGGGGCGACGGCGGTGTTTATCCCCTTCGCAGGACACAGCGGGCCAAGAGCGGTTCTCGAGCCTTTCGACGGCTTTCTTTCGTGGAGCAGATGCCGCCCTACTCATGTTCGACGTGAACGCACCAGAGACGATGGAAGCGCTCAAGAAGTGGTGGGCGGACTTCCGTGACAAGGCACCCCTGGCGGATGAAGACATGCAGGAATACTGCTGTGTGGTGGTTGGGAACAAGATTGACATGGTCGGGAGTGGGAGGGAGTTGCAGGAAACGGTGTCCGAATCGGAAGCGCTTGAGTTTTTGGACGAACTCGTCCCATCGTCGTCAGAGCTCTCTCTGAGCACCTCTTCGCCTTCAACTTGGACAGGAAATGGCAACGGGCATCAAGACGCAGACGGCGACGGTGACGAGCTAGCCTCATCGCAACATACCATTAAACCACCTTCTCCAAGTTCCTCACCAGGGCATTCTCGCTCATCCTCGATCGCCATTATCCCTCCACCAGATTCCTCCCACATACGACAGCCTTCGCACTCGCCCAAACATCAATTGTCCAAATCTCGCTCTCGTTCTTCATCCCGGTTCTACTCTGGCACGATGACAACCACGCACACTGCCGTAACGATCTACCACACGCCGTCCTCGTCGCTTTTCGACGTATACCAGTCCGCACGTTCGTCGCCCGAGCCATGGTCGAGCTCGGAGAGCGAGCTGCATGTGGAGCCCGCAGCCAACGCGACCGCCCGTCAGCGCCGGCTGACGATGCTCTCAACGGGCAGCACGAGTTCTGGAAGTGCGCCCACAATTACGCCGAGTCTCTTCGCGCGCGAGCGGCAAGGCAACGGCGCGGAGTCTGTGACGCCCGTGTCTTCTCCGCTCATACCCGCCGCGTCTGGGATACCACTCCCACCGGAGCGAGGCCCCAAGCTCTTCTTCACGTCGGCCAAGACGGGTGAGGGGGTTGCGGACGTATTCGAGTACATCGCACAGCGTGTGGTGCGAAAGTGGGAGTACGACGAGTGGGCGGAGGCGAGGAGAATGCATTTCCGCGAGGCGAGCGGGGCTGCGGAGACTGTTCGCCTGCAGGGTTCCGGTGCGAGAGGGCAAGGTACTTGGGCGGAGTGCTGCTCGACGTGATTACTGGGTATTTATGGTATGTATGGTCCCTTTTTTATTCCAGGATTTTCGATCCTTCTATGTGTGATCGCCAGCAGGATATATACGCACTATTCAAGGATGAGTGAGTGTTACAGATAGTCCCCTCCAGGACGTCGGATACCTGAAATATCTCATACGGGGATGCTGGAGGCACCGTGCCTCAAGGAGACAGAATTATGTGAGCCTGATTTTATTGCTCATCAAGGAACTTGGGTGTTATTTCTACGTATGTATCCTCCGCTTGCGTAACTTTGCCGACACATGAGATATATCTAGGGATCCCCAAGTGGCCGAAGTGCAGTCTTGAAGTCGAGCCGACTGCAGACCAGCTGCTATTTACCTGGACACATTAGTAGTGTTCTAGGTCTTTCATATGCATGAGTAGGTTATTCTGGGGAGTTATTTCCTCCTCAATCTCTCTTGGTGAAACTCCAGCACCACAATACGCTGCCAAAAATCATGAAAGCACAGTACCTGTTCACTCCTGCAGTGCAAAAAAACAATGGCGGCAGTGGTAAGGGCCAGCCGCCAAAACCGTGCCTGCCTAGGGGCTGTGGGCTTTATTTCCTTTTACAGGCTCGATTACATAATCGGACTACGGCAATTGGCAACGGAATTAGGAGGCTTTCTCAGTTTCTATCGTTTTCTGCCACTGCTGCACCTCGAAACACCATTGAGAACCCCCGAAGGCATGCCGAAAGCGCTTAAAGGCACTAAGGAACGCGCAAACGTGCACATAATCCTGAAATATGGCGACCGACGCGTCATAGCTTCGCGTCCAAAGCAAGTCCAAAGACGTATGCTGTATGTGACTTTCAGCCTCTAACCAACGATATACTAACTACAAGCCTTTACAGGCGGCTGTGGCGGCTGTCCGAACGCGGTTCCTGACTCTGGCAATTGGATATAGCATTTCCTTCGAAACAGACGAGCTGGACATCTGCGACGGGCAGAGTGCGGAAATACCGGAAGATGTGTGGGAGGTCCTTTCGGAGGTCAAGTCTGTGAGAGTGAAAGCAACGCGATTGCAGAAAGTCGCCCAACTGCCTTCTCCTGAGCCCGCGAACACTCAAGGCGAGTCTCCTTGTCTTCTCTCCTACTTGACGATGTGACGTTCAGCACCAGAGAAGCTGTCCTTTTTCGTTGACTACAGAAATACCTTAGTCAAGTGTTCCGCCGTTACCCCTTCCACGTCTATCCGATATATTCTTGAAAGCGCTCTAACCGCCCTTGGCCACTCTTGCGCAGAAAATTGGAAGCTGATTTTTGATGCTCGTGTCTTGGATTTGGACCAAACAATCGCCGACACTTTGCTTCAGGACGGTGATCATCTTGACCTACTCGCAGGGCAAAAAGGAGGGAAGCCCGTCATCTATCTGTTCTCCCCCCAAACCCTTGAAGCTTCCGTCAAACTCTCCCTCGTGCCACAATGGGATCTATCAGTGATTTACCCCGTAGTCTCAATCAAGCCCAGGACGGTAAACACGAATGAAGAAGTCGCGTGGAGGGTGCGCGTGCATCCCAAAGGGGAGATAACAGAGCTGACGACGGGGTTGGGGGTTGCATACCTATTCTGGGAGGCACTGTAAGTTTCCCGTAAAATATCTCGTTTCTACTATCGCCCTCATCTCCGTGTCAAGAACCAATCCTATCGTTTCGCCGCCCTCGTCACCGGTCGAGAGCCAGGTCGAAATTCTTGAGCCAAACAATGCAGTTTTGAATGCCCTGAACCTTCATTACGTGCGTGTCACATATCTACCCCACATCACCGTCATCTTAGCAGCGATCTAGGTACTGGCTCCCGTCGATTCTGAAGCATAAGCACATTGCACTCCGCTTTCTGCCGCAGTCTGCCTATGAACGTGCTGCACCCCTTGATGTTTCCCCCAAGCCCGACGTTGTGACCCGGGTCTTATGCTCTTCAAAGGCATCAACGACGATGCATTGGACCACTGGTCGGTGGCAAAGGCAAAGGCGATCGAGGATGTGAATTTGTGGAGAAACATCGTCGGGGTGGATCTGGATCGTGCAAAGGACACGTCGCTCTTCCGCGTGCTGGAGTGGAGAGGCATGGAAGTTCTGCATTGATGCAGTGCGTACACAGATATTTACTCATCTGATATTTCCGGGATTCCTTTAGTGCCCACTTTGGGTTAATTTAACGCCAATGAGGAGTATCGAGAGGGCCTAAAAATCCTGGAGACCTGGGTAGGACTGCGCAAACTGGGTACGAAGAAGTCTTGGTTATGTATACGTAATTGGCTTTTCATCAAAACGCCTTTTCTGCAACGCCGCATCGGGGCACCTGACATTCTGCGCCGGGCTTATATTCCCATTGGCTACCACAGGCAATATCTGTTCTTTGTCTACGCGCTTATTCTTCGTGAATCCAGCGCAAGAGGTGCGTATTTCCGGTGGGCGTACGTTGCCAGCTTCAAGTTGCCTCCTTCTTAAATTTGTTCCAGGTGCTAGCTCCATTTTGTGCTGAAGCACCCCTAGACCGGCGCAACAGTTGTTGCGAACAGAACTTTGAAGATGTTGAAGATTGGCTCTCGCAATGGGAACGTACCATGGATGCCGCATGCAGGCCCCGGCCGGATGCGTTACGTGGTTCGCAGGCATGTTGCCAATACCTCAAGGCTGAAGCGCGCATCGCCTCAGCGCTCAGCGCTCAGCTGCCATGCTCATTGCTTTTATACCACCTCGGGATGTCTCTTCTAAAAATCCCCCATCTGCCATCCCCCGGTCTATCCTCTAGCTTCTTTCCCTTCTACAAATGATTGAAACTCATCTTCTCGTTCTGGTCCATGGAATGTGGGGCAACCCAGAACATCTAGCTGAGCTCGCTCGGATCGCACGCGAGACGCACGGCGCAGAGACACCAGACGGTATAGCGCTGCACATCCTCGTCGCTGAGACTATCCGGGAAGTCTACGTACGATGGAGCAGACTGGGGAGGCGAGCGGGTGGCGAGTGAGGTATGTCACTTCCGGGTCCAGTGACCTCTTTGACTGATCTGCCTTTATTCACCCTCGACGGCCGTTATGCGCTGATAGGTGCTGGAGACGGTGAAAAATCTTGAAGCAGAGGGACGAGGTGTTACTCGCTTTTCGGTGACGGGCTACAGCTTGGGAGGGCTCATCGCACGGTATTGCGTCGGGTGAGCGTAAAACGCCGTCCATCTCCCACTGCCAGGATTTCTGACCGAAATATCCGCAGCGTCCTGCACTCGAAAGGCTTCTTCGAGAAAATCGAGCCGATCAATTTTAATACTATAGCTACTCCTCACTGCGGCCTTCCGAAATACCCTTCGCTCCTCTCAACGCTGTCCATGACAATCGGATCCAAGTTGCTGTCACGGACCGGGGAGCAATTTTATTGCCTAGATAAATGGTCACCGAAGGGACGCCCTTTGTTGGTCGTAATGGCTGATCCAGGTATTACTTGACATCCTATTTTGCTTCATGACGGTGTTCACGGCTGTCCTCTAGAACGCGTATTCTACCAGGCGCTTGCGAAGTTCAAGCATATTAGAGTTTATGCCAATGCGTACGTCTTCTCTGTAAATTTTGATGTTTGACCACATCATTCAATCGCTATACCCCTTCCAGTGTCAACGACATCACTGTGCCCTACGTAACGGCGGCAATTGAGACATCAGATCCTTTCGCCGACGCGGAGACGAATGGAGTTTATGTGTATGTGGCCGATGATTCTTTTTCTACAAAAAATTCATGAGTCGTCGTAACAGCAACTTCAAGGAAAAGTATGACTGTGTAATTGACACCTACACCGTTCCCGACGTTCCTCCTCCAAAGCCACCAAAACCTACTATCCTGACAACAAAATGGTTCAAGAGCTTGAGACCCTCAAATCCCAGCAATCTCGTACTCTACTCCTTACTGCCCCTCCTCATCCCGACGCTCGTTCCGCCTCTCCTTCTCTACTCCGTGCATGCATCTCACGTCTCGCAAAAGAGAGTGAAAGCACTTGAGCTTGAGGTTCGCACGTCCGGCCAGCAGAAGCTGCAACACATTCTCGCCGAGCTCGACCGGGAAATGGAGGAGGCAGTCGTGGATCTCATCGACAACCCGGAGCCGTCGTGGAAATCTCGCTGCGGGTCAGAGGGCGTTGTCAGAAAGGCTCATCCCATCATCACCTCGACACACGAGCGAATAGCCCTGTGGTTGAACGCGCTACCTATCAAGAAAGAACTTGGATTCTTCCCCTCTATGATAAACTCGCATGCGGTGATCATCTGTCGGGATGTGAAGCGCTTCGAGGCAAACAAGCTCGGAGAGGGCGTCGTGAGGCATTGGGCGGACTCTTTCATTCTTTAGACCACTCCTTTTTCTTCGGCAGATTACTGAGGCTCATCATGGGAGTAAAGTAATATTTATTATGTAACTGCATTTCAGCGGTTGACACAGACCAGGAGCACGAAATCCCTCTTCCCTTATCTCTATACAAGACAAATACAAGGCTGATGTTTTGACTCTTGACGATATGTATTGGAGGAGATTAGGAAAATATTGGACGAGCATAAGAAAGCACGTGAGGAGAATAAGAAAGCACGTGAGGAGGATAAGAGATCATTGAAGCATAAGAAAGTATCGGAATGGTTGGAGGAAGAATTGTCGGCGGCGAAGAAATGTGGTCGAGACATGACAGACTCCCTCAAAATGGTACGTTTGTCAAACTTCTGCCTGCTTTGCATTATAAGTGGTATCTGGTATAGAGCATTCAGCTTACTCTGTTTTTGATACCAGCGCCGTTGCGAGCGCTTCTGGGTCCTGCAAGAGCGAGAAATGTTGCAATATGACAACTGGGAGCACCTCCGTGGAAATCTTTTCACTTCTGCTGCAATTCATCAACGTCTTCAGACTAGCAACGTTCAACTCTCAACGCTCCTCCCAAGGTGCCATCGAATTCCTGTATTCCTACAGGACAACGTCGCTATACGCGAGGCGGCTCTAACCAAGAGGAAATCAAGGATACAGTAGCTTCAAGGGAGATTGACATGGAGGAGAGAAGCCAATTCGAGGAATTGTACCTTTTCGTCTTCGGCGGTGGGGAATGTTAACAAAGTGTAAAAGCATATCGGCCTATGGCCTACAACGATGACAGCTCGCCTACAATGAAGAAACTCTGAGCTTCTCCACGACACCGCCCTCACCCACCTCCTTGAGCTCGACATCCAACGCGCCCTCGATATCCACAACAAATTGCACTTGGACGTGCGTGAACCACTTGCCGGCATCCCTTCCCTTGCCTTTTGTCTGTATGGCGAGCTTCGCCTGGGTGTCCACGACAGCGAGCAGACGCTCTTTCGCCAACGTCCGGTGCTTTACTTCCTCTTCTTCTGGCTCATCATCATCGTCATCAGCGTCTTCCGGATCCGACGACTTGGGCGGCGCAACCTTCTCGATCCGGATGCCCTCCTTGACCTCCCACACCTCGAACGCGATCCGCTTTGACTGCTCACTAAGCCCGACCTCGAACGAGACGACGCGCCGCACCGGCAACGCCGTCTCTTTCTGGACGATAGGCACCCAGGTGCCGCCCAGTTCCTTGTTCTCCTCGAGCCCGTTGGGGAAGAGCAGCCCAAGCGTGCGAGTCGTCGCCTTGACCTCCGCACCGACGCCCGTCAACGCCTGTCGCAGCTCGCCCTCCTCACCGTCGGACCCGAGGCCGTTGATGAGAGCCGCCTGGATCGCACATCCACGGGCGATGATCGTTGTCGGGTCGCCCAGTCCACCACCGACGACGGTGCCACGCGCGAATGGCGTCTCAACAGCCTCCCTCAGTCCCACCTCAATCCCGAGCCGGTCGTCCAGCCCAGGTAGGCAGCCTGTGCCACCGACGTATACCACCTCGTCCACGTCGTGGGCATCGAGCCCGGTGGTCGAGAGGAGCGAGGAGATCTCAGACGCAACGGTGGCGTATATCGGCGACCCGAGCATGTCAAACCGCATGCGGTTGATTGACCCGGTGTAGTCCATGCCGTCCTTGAGAGATTCGACGGAGCAGGTGGCAGCGCCAGGCGAGGCGCTGATCGTGCGCTTGGTGTGCTCGATTGCGAGCCGCAGTTTTGCTTCGGCACGCTGGTCGGTGACGTCCTTCGCGGGGCAGACATTGAGAGGAATCTTCGTCTTTTTCGTAAAGTCGGCGGCGAAGAATTTGATTAGCTTATCGTCGATCTGGTTCGCACCGATGGTTGGTGTGCTTGATTGCCCGAGGACGTATGCAAGACCTTCGCGGATAGACAAAATGGCGAGCGAGACGGAGGAAGATCCAAAGTCCACCACGAGCTGCGTACGATCAGGCTCGAGGCCCCAAATAGGCGTCGTGGTCGTAGCAGCCGCGGCAGAGACTTCATCCAGAAGTTGAAGGACGGTTACGCCGGCGTCGGTGGCTGCCTGCTCGAGAGCAGATTTTTGGGTGGGGGTGAAAGTGGGTGGCACAGAGATGACAGCACCCTGAATGGGTTTACCAAGGAAGTCGGAGGCGGATTGTACGAGGGATTTCAGGAAAATAGAGGCGACTTCGGATACAGTCAAAATGCGGTCAACCAGCACAGGCTCCGATCGTGGAGTGGGAGCATGTGAGGCAGCTGGAGTTGTGAAGGCGGAGGTTGGAAGAGGTGTTGGGGCGGGTTGAAGAACCTGCACTTTGTACGCGGGAGTATCGGGTTGATCGGGATGTTGAATGACGGGGGCAGAGGTCGTGTTTTCTGACTGAGGAATCTCAGAGAATCTATGAAGGGTTAGAAAGTGCGAGAAAAAGTTAAGAGAATGCACTAACTTTTTGCCCAGAAGGTTCCGGAATCCAGTTATCGTATTCTTCGCGTTCTTCACAAGCTGCTGCTTGGCCTGGTTTCCGATGTACTGTTGGACAGTCAGCATTCATGCATTTTCAAAGAGTACAAGGGAGGATGAAGAGCGGAAGGAGGATCGGGTATCCTTTGTAGGCGATAGCACTGCGAGCGTTACCGTCGCTAATCATGGCATGAGCATGCGTTCTTGAAGATGAGAGAATAGGACAAAACGAAGTGCCCCAGTGAATATCAAAAATGGGTAGATCAAACGGTCCTGTACCGTCTTGAAGAAGACGAGGAGAGAAGTTGCACACGCCCAACAGCCCATAGCCAAACTGCTGCCAACGCTAAATCGATTGAGATGGACGATCTCAATATTGGAGTATCATACATTGGCAGTGGCGGTGGATCGCTTCGGAACTCCAAGGCTCGGAAGGGATACGAAGCGAATGGAGGATCTCCTTCCACAGATGGGGTTCAATCGTCCAACCCCTTCTACAACGAGGGTCTCCGTCGTACACCAGGAGCTTCTCCTCGTGACCCCAGGAGATAACACCCTACCCTGCTAAGCAGAGCGTGTCAAATATCGCTCGCCGAGATAGCTGGTTGCACACAATCTCGACGGACCGCAGATGGGCGATTTTCCAGCTCGTGCCCGGCGTAATTGCATTCTTCGACAATAAGAACAGCCAGAGAGTCTGATGACGCGTCGATCCATCGAGAATCTCTCTTTTCCGCGAACCGGACACTCTACACCCATTGCCCAACCAGCTGCACCACAACAGTGGGATATCACAAAGATGCAGCAATCCACTCACCATCTCCTCCCCATGAAACGCCACAGCGCAAGCTATTTGTCGCTCTCCATCTTCGTTTGCGATACATTCAGCCAATCCTTCCTATCGCACTCTGGTTAGCTTTCGGGATATCCCTAACATCGCTGGCGTCGCACCTTTGTGAAGACCGCGATTGAGGCGTAGGAATTGCCAAAATTGATCCCAACAACGGGCGGTAGTGTGCTGAGTTGGAGAGGAGCCTCAGCGCTCCCGTTGGGAATCGGCGTTGAGGACATGAGAGCGGTCTATATAAAAGAGTAGGAAGTGAAAGGATTTCACCCCGAACCGTGATCAAAAAATTACAGTGTCACGTGGAAAATGCTTCGGCAACACCCGGCAGGAGCGTGTCGCAATATTACGTCAGCATTTAAATAAGCGCCCAGAACTGTTGACCCTTGTTGACTCTTGTCTTGTACACTTCACGGCTATGGCACTGCACCTCGATATGACGCTACCCTTGAGTCCCTGTGAGTACTCCTTGTCTCACTAATCACACGATGCTGATTGACTACGTCCCAACTTTCTGCCACCGTCAACTGCTGACCAAAACGGTTGCAGTGGCTCGTTGGTCTTTGATAATTCAACCTGAAGACGGGGCAAGAAAGACAAAAATACGGAGAGTCCAGTCAAGAAAGAGGGCGAAGGGTGGTCCCCTGAAATACTTCGTCGATCTACCACTAGATGTGGTCTACGAGGTTGGTGGCATTTCTTCGGGAATTGTTGCGGGTGGCAAGGCAATGCTAATGGGACCAGATCGTCTCCCATCTCAAACCCCTAGATTTACTGAATCTGTCACGCAGCTCGAAGGGCTTTCGAGATTTTTTCATGTCTCGCATTTCAATCACCCTATGGAGGACAGTTCTGAATCGTTTGGGGAGTGGCATTCCACCGTGCCCTCAGGACCTTACAGAACCACAATACGCGAGTTTACTATTTGACAAGTTCTGCATGGTAATAAGGCACTAACGTCTATTTGTGTCTAATCTTGACGAGTTTCCAGGCCTGCGGAACGACCTGCCATGTATTACTTACTGATTTCAAGCTCAAGTTGAGATTCTGTAGCTTGTGCCAAAAAGCAAAGTAAGCTATTCTGTTCCAGATTTATGCCCAATTCTCACGTATCCAAGTATCTGCTTTGGGCACGGTGCTTATGCACAGCAAAAAGAAATTGCCTCTGAAGCATTTAAGACAATCCCCTGCTGGACAGGGTGGAATTCGACGACATCCCAGCAGAAGGTACACAGAGGTACGTGCAGATTCAGACACACACGCCCAATGAAATTACCCTATCTCTGATCTTCCATCAATCTCATAAGTGGATAGCTTCCAACACAACAGCATGAAACACTTGCCTTATACTCAGTTCTTCAAACCCGAACTCGAATTGGCGATCAGTTGGGTTCATAGCCTCGAAGCCTTGAGTAAAGAGTCTCTGGACGAGTTTCACGGCTTTGTCGCACAAATCGGACAGCGCACGACGGCCTTGATGAATGTTGGTACCGTCCAATTTCATTTCAGTCGCTACTCACTACTCGTCTAGGAAGGGCTTGCAATCGAATTGTGGATGGAGAAATATAAGCAAAAAGAAGAGATCGAACAGGGAGAAGAGCGCTTCAAAAGGTAGCCATATTTCGTCGCAACCATGTTCCTGATATTTTGATTTGCCCCTCTAGGATCACAAAAGAAATCAAGGCACTCGGTTGGGACGAGCAATACTTTCCACAACAGGGTGACCCCGACTTCGCAGCGTGGGACAAGTTCCTCCATGAGAAAAGGGGACTAACCGATCGTGGTACGCGCACGACACACGCGTGTTTATCCGCGCCTGACCATGCTCTAGGATTCACAATGATTCGCACTAAATTTACCAATATATATGAACGGCGGCGGAAGCAACAACTGAGCAAGGTGCTTCTCGACCGAATCCAGGCCTACTGGATTAAGTATCGCACCATTCATCCTCCGGAAGAACGACGCCATATGCCTGGCTGGGGCGACGTCGAACACCTGCCTCTCATTCCAGCCTTCGTAGATGAGCATTACTCCGATTTCACTGATGAGATACTTGATGAATTTATGCAGCAAATCATTGACTCTACCCAACACTTCTTCACCGCCGTCCAGCTCGACCTGGATATTATCCTCAGCTGCGGTATCTTCCATTTACCCAACTTCTCACTGCTCGAAATGGCGAGAGCCGTTTTTATATGCGGCGACAGCGGTTTGGATACAGCATACTTGCCCTCTGAAGCATCCCCCCTCGTCGTGAAGGCGTACCCCGAGGTGGTCGAGTATCTGGTCGACGCGAGTCCGCACACGTCGTGGTTTCTTATCCGCCCATATTCGAGCCCTCTCTTGCACGATGTGGCTCGAGAGGTCCTTGCAGCACTGAATCTTCCAGCCACGGCCACTCGGAACGACGTTCGTGCGCTTGAGCCGTTTATATGTACCTGCTATCACCCGGACTATACGGGCAGACTCAGCTTTGAGAAACTTGTAAGTGAGCTGACGCGTTTTCTGCAGATATAAATGTTTATATTGATGATATAGATCGAGCACGTTTACGAGGAAAGAAGGTGGCACCGCTATATGGCAGCCAACGCTTCGACTTTGTGAGCCTTGTTTCTCGTGTTTCCAATCGACGAGAGGTATTTAATAAAATGTACGCTCATAGGAATCGTCAAGCACGGCTGGGCCTCTTGTGGGACAGCCATTCCGGACACGAGCTTTCGAATCGCATGAGGCTCATGCCTCCAGAAAACAGCAGAAGTTGTTTCTCTTCTTCCGGAGAGTCGTCAGGCGCCTCCTTTTCCGCGATTCTTGCTTCATCCTTTTGTTGCGCTTATTGTTATGAGGTCACAGGAGACATTTACCCTGTCGCTCACCAGGTCGCAGAATGGCACATGATGTATCGGTGAGAGTGTTCTCATGAGCCAATTGCCATTTCCTCGATGCCCATTGCGACACAACAGACACTCACGACCCAGGCTTCCGGGGGATCTCGGCTCCCTAGAGGAGCTCAAACGCAACAAGATCCAATCCGCCCAAATGTGGAACACTTTGAGCAGCCTCAATGGCAACCTGCTCTCCAGTGATTTTAAAGACTCTGAATTTGAGGAGGAGTTTAATCTGTGGTTTGAGGGCCATGCAGCAACCACAGAGACTTCTCATTCCCCCGGCGGTGCGGACGGAAACGGGGAAGTTAAGAACTTTAATTAAAATTTCAGCGGATTATAATGGGAGGGAAAACGGGTTTAAATCGCGTAAGGCTTAAATTTACGAAGTCCGTCGATCTGTTTCCGAAGTCGAAAGCAATAAATTACTTCATTCAGATATCAAAAAGCATTAGTAATACGCGTTCACAACAATGACACGTGATGCGAAAGGTACCTAAATAAGCGCCCACTTCGACCCTTGTTTGCCTTCTTCCTTCGTTGCGGTAGAGGTTCATCGATCTCGACTTATATGCAGTGAGGTTATGCAACGTCCAAGAAAGTCCTTGGGACTACCACTGACTGCAGGTGAGATTCCTCATCGATTCATGTACGAAACTTCCGCACTCACAGTGACCAATCGCTTCGCCTTGCCTTGGCCATGCTGTCTACCACTTGAATGCCCACAGGAGATCGCCTGTCGTTAGTCATTCTGCCAGATGGAGAGGGAGCGCCCAAGAAAAAGACGTGCGGCCGGTATAAAGGGAAGGGGAGGGCGGGGAAGTTGAGGCACTTTGTGGATCTGCCGTTGGACATCGTCTACGAGGTTCGCCTGCCCATGAATCCGTTCATATTTGAGGCCCACAGTTCACTGGATACAACAGATTATCTCTCATATGCGGCCAATAGATCTACTCAATCTTTCACGCGCTTCGAAGGATTTCAGAGCATTCTTCCTGTCTCGCGACACTGCCATATTCTGGCGAAGGGTGTTCAGCCGTTTGGGCGATGTACCTCCATGCCCGGAAGGCCTCAACGAGCCTCAATACGCAAGCCTTTTATTCGACAAATTCTGCATGGTACATAATTCCAGCGCTGTGGCCAGCATCTGCGTTCAGCGCTGAATAGCTCTGGCTTCCAGGCTTGTGGGACGACGCGTGGAACGATCACGACGGACTTAGGCATAGGACTCAGGTTTTGTACGTCATGCAAACAAGTCAAGTGTGTCCCTCGCTTGAAAATTTCTTGGGCATTTCTCACCCCCCCTTAGTGTTTGCGCCGGAGACAAGCTTGACGGCGCGGAAGAGGACGACGACATCTACGATATGGAGTCAGCTTTCAGTATGCTTCCCCGATTTCTAGAGCTTGACGGTATAGGTTGGCATCCAAGACGTAAGTCACACTCGAGAAGGTTACCTATGCACTCTGAACGAGTTACTAACGCAGCATCAGGTTATCAATTTGAAGCCGAGAGAAACGGCCCATGGGACAACTATTTCAAACCCGAGCTACGATTGGCTATACGGGCAATCAAGGACCTTGAGACGTGGTCGATGGAGTCTCCAGAAGAATATCGGGCTTTCGTCACTGATCTGCAAATCCGGGCAACGATCGCTATGAACGTACGACTGTCATCGTTTTACTTTACAAAAGATGAGGATAATAATTTCGGTTTTACAGCAAGGGGCAGCAATTCAGCGTTGGATGGGCGAGTACAAAGAGCAGGAAGAAGATGAATGGGCACAAGATCGATTCAAAAGGCGAGCTCTGACGTCACTAAACATTGAACTCTTACTGAGATGTGTTTATGACTAGGATCACACAGGAAATGAAGGCTATGCGATGGGAAGAGCAATACTTCCCGGATCAATGTCACGATAGTTACTGGTGCAAGTGGAACAAATTCTTGCACGATCGCAAGGAACTAACGGATCGCGGTGAGCCCAGCATTCCGAGGCTCCTCAGTTTACTGAATTCATCGATCACACGCATCATAGGTTGGGTGCAACTTCGCCCAAAGCTGACGGCCATTTATGAACAATGCAAGAAAGATCGACAAGTGGAAGCTCTTCTTGAACGAGTCGGAGCTCACTGGACGCGTCGCCGATCGGCGAAACATCTTCAGCCCAGCGAAGTGCGCCACATGTTACCTCCTTGGGCCGACGTCAATGATCACTTTCACCCGATTCGGACCATTCAAGATTTCGCTCTCAAAAACTTCGACTTTTGTTCAGATAACACCATCCAGCAATTTATAATAGATATCGAGCACAACAGCTTGTTTCTGCTAGAACACATCAAAGCCCACTGGATTTATTATCGAGCGAGAAACCCTCCTGCAGTGCGGCGCTGGATGCCTGGCTGGGGCGATATCGAACACGAATCTCGATACTTTCTAATCCCACAAAAATTTTCGATCCAGAAATACGCCCAGAAGTGTACCAACAACGACTTGGAGGGACTCATGGGTGTCATCACGTACTACACGCAGGATTTCTTCGAAACTGCGAAACGGGATTTGGAAGAGCATACGCCAATTTCCATCTGTATTCAGCAACATCGACGAAGCGGGGGGCTTATTCTTATGCGACCAACTTCCATCCACGCCTTTGTACCCTTCTCCTCCCATTATTAAGCCGTACCCACAAGTGATTGAGCATCTGGTGGATGCGTCGCCCCTGGAACCATGGTGTAATATTCGGCCTCGTCATAGCTCGTGTCTCTCGCAGGTTCTTGAGGACGTGATATCTGCCCTTCGTCTTCCACTTGGATCGACAAGGACTGACGCTCTTGCACTCGGAGGGGTTGTTTGCAAGTGCGGACACCCACGATTCAGTGGACCGATTACGTTTGATATGCTTGTGAGTCATCAAATTTTAAATTTTGCATGGCTCAAGACCTCGTTTTTTCGGCGCTAAATCGCGCATTTTGTTAGGTCGAGCACGTTTATGAAGAACAATCATGGCATCGATCTATGAAAGTAACTGCCACCTTCATAACGTACGCCTTGCCTTTCCTACTCCAAACTGAAGCTTAAAGGGACTTCATCTTCAAGCCGTCGTTGCCCCAACCAATTGTGGAACAGCCACTCTGGAGACAACCTTCTAAATCTCGTGGACGTAGCTCCCACTCACGGACAGCACGAATATTCCCAATTCAGCAGGCTTTCTGGATGGAACTGCACAGATTCGACGACGACTAGTTCACTGACTTTTTGTTCCTATTGTTATCAAGTGGCAGGACCGTACTCTCTCGCTAGCGAAGATGCGGACTGGCATATTTTTTACAGGTGGGCCCCATTCATCCCTGTCCTAAGGTGTCCATACTCATAACCTAGCTAGACACGGGATGCGTCGGACGCCCGATGATATTGATGAACTTCTGAACCTCCAACGCCGGTATCCTGGTCACCATTCGTTTGCCGCGTGATGATCCTCCAACGAAACTGTTTTATATACCACCGCAAAGAGTCTGGAGGGAGCCAGAAAGAACAGCATCCATGTTCTTGACATTGTAAAGTATACTTGTGGGTCTGCAGAATACAAATGTTTCATGACACTTACACGTCGATCCGAAAGCTACACCCTCACGAAGAAATACAGATAGGCAAGGGATTTCAACTGCCTAACGCTCTCTGCATCTGCCTTAACCACCTTCTCGTCGTTGAATAGCACCCAATCGCCCTCAGGTCCTTTCTTGATGTGAGCAACGTAGTGCCCAGAGTGCACAGATGGGCCCTTGTGCGAGATGAATGCGAGGAGGCGATAGCGCGCTGGAACGGCATTTGAACCGGGCAACGGGGCCGGTTCAGATGAGGATGCTGGAGCAGTGGAAGTTGGAGCCGCGTCCTCGCCGGTGTCGTCGGGGTGATTGAAGAGCCATTCGACGGCGCGCTCTGCATTACCAGCCTGGATCACAAAGCAGTGGTAAATTAGGTGTGCTTTAAGGCAGCAGTGATGTCCTTACAGTCTCCCGCAGAGCTTTGCGCGCTTGCGCACTTGTGAACCCCATGTCAGCGAGCATCGCGACCTGATTTGGGTCTGGGTCTGGTCCACTCGCTCCTCCTGCAGCACTAGCGAGCTGAATCGGGGCATCGATATCTATACCTTAGAGCTTAGCCATAGGGCTTAAAAAAATTCAATTAAGATATACCGGGGTCCTCCATGTGTGCAAATAACCACTCCATCGCGGCCTCTGCGTCGCTGTTGCCCGTAGCGAGGAGTGCCTTTTGGCACCGAACGGTGGGGAAGCCCATTCCTTCGAGTTGAGCCATTGCTGCTGCATTGAACTCGGGGAGGGCAGGCGCGACTATCGTGTTCGAATTCAGGTTCAGCGAACACTGAGAGCTTAGGTGTTGAACATACCAGCGGAATCGTTCGGTAGCTCGATCTCGCCTTCTTGTAGTCCACGTCCGATGTGGGTCTCCGAGAACACGAGCTCGTCGTTCTCAGGCAGGATTACCGGGATGTCTGCAACCAGAAGATAAGAAAGGGCATAAAATGAAGAAAAGCACTTACCAAGCTTAGCCGGCACCCAATTCACCAGCTGGAACTTCTTCGCATGGACGACTAGTACCTCTGGCAAGGACGCAAACTTGCTCTGTTTGACCGCCCGCACGCCTTTCCCGCAGGCCGGGCAGCTGTACTCTAGCTCCTCCGTGCTCAAGAGGGCATCGATGCATGCTGTGAGGGGTACGTCTGAATAGATTGGCTTGGCGTCGGCGTCGACCGACTTCTGGTGTGCGGGAACTGCGACAGAGACGACATCCGCCGAATCGCCACGGTACCTCACGCGAGAGCACTCCGTGCACTGTAGGCGCTGTTCCGTGGCGTAAGTGAATACTTGTGTAGGATCTGTGTTATGTATTCAGTTTTCATATCGTGGAGAATTGGGGTCGAGACAAACCTCCTACAGCTCTCTCCTTGAACTTTTGCCCATCCCTCCTCAGCGTAGTAATTAAATGTGTGAAGAATTCCTCTGCGTCTTGTTGACGCATGGTCGCGAACTCTTCGTGGCCCTTGCCAATAAGTGACTTGAACCCGGTCGGCTTAACCCCGAGCTGGAATACTGGAGTAGGTGACGGATGTTGCAATCTATCTGCTGCCTCGGAGGAAGAGTGGGCGGGATGGGAGTATCGACCACTCAAGAGGCCGTCTGCGACCTTGATCATCTGACACTCGACGCATTCAGCAGGAAGGGAAATAGGACATGTCTCTGCATGGTTGTTCGCCACGCCTACTCTGTACCGTGATTCGAAAGCAGGTAATGAGAAGAGTGTTTGCAGGACGGAGGCCATGTAACAACTGTTGCCCAAGTTCGCGAGACCAGTCAGGCCAGAGCCAAATACGGGCTCGAGAGCCTTCCCATCGTCACCAGTCAGTGAGAAGTCGTACTTCAAATTTTGTTCGATTTGCTATCGAGGCGAATGAGTACCAGAAAAAGGAAGGAATGTGCCTAAGTATATTAGGGAGTGGCTTACCAGTTCAGTCATGCTCTTCTCCGTCTTACTGAGTGTTTGCACATTGATCCCAAACGAGGCCAGATGTTTTGAGAGCTCCGGGTCTTCCTTTGCATCATTGCAGGAGTAACAGTAGATGTCTCAAGGAAGCAGGTAAGCATAGGCCGTTGTTGGCGAGGTGGCTGGCATACCTGCGCCGCCTTCGGGCGTGATCGTGCCAAGTTTAACGCTCACTGGGTGGCCCGAAGCTTCGAAGTGTGCGAGTCCATGGCCATTGCCATCAACACCACCGAACTGCTGTCTGCCGCAGCCCAACGACCCGCAGGTGAGGCAAAGCCATAGGTTTTCCTTGAGGTCGCAGGCGTTGCAATGTGCGAGACCTACAATATATTAGAAACTACAAGGAGAAAGAAAGGACAAGCCAACCTGACGCAGGTATGTGCCCACTGACGAACTGTTCAAGAGTCAGTGTGTGCTCGCAAGGCGTGATTTCTTCCTCCCAAGCTTTGACCTCGGATTGGCGGGCGGATGAAAGGGACTGCATGACACCGTCTACAAGAGACTTGACCTGACAAGTTAATCAGTGAGGTAGAAAAGGAATGGTCCGACACGACCTACCTTGGAATCGAAGCCAGGGTCAGGAATGATAGCGCCTTTATGTGAATCGCAGGCCCAGCACTTGACCGCCGTAGAGTGTTCGTATTTGTCCTCCTCGCGCTCCTCAACAATCGCGAGCTTGGTCATCTTCGCGGGTGGCTCCTCGTGCTCGCCCTGCCTCCCCGTAAGCTCGTCGTCCCCCGATGAAGAGCTGCACACACCCTGGACGATGGCCTTGGTCTGAGCTTCCTCTTCACATTCAGCGTGAACTTGTGGCCAGATTTCGAGACGTGGGTGTGAGCATGGTGCCTCCCCTCATCTAGGCACCCTCCATTGAAGCAGCTGAGGCATACGTCGATACCATCGGGGCCATCCTGATCACAAAGACAAATCAATGAGCGCTCATCCGAGTACCACCACCACGTACCTGGTTATCAAAGCATTGTGTACATTCTTCCCGATGAACGCTCTGAGATAATTTGGGCGTTTGAAGACGCGTAAGGTGATCGATATGAGAGCAAACCATGATGGATGGAGAGAAGATGTATGCGATCTCTAACTTTAAGCGAGTCCACGATTTATCACGTGCTCGTGATGCCTCAGAGTTCGAACCTCGCGTTGGACCAAATTCTGGTATTTAGAATTGCTGTAGAAATCTTGGTTCCGGACGTCGAGTACTATATTACATAAATAATGAAAACATATTGTGATACATGTTTAGACTGTAGAGAGTTTATTTAAAATACAGAATTCGTCATCCTTTTACTTGTTCTTCTGGATCCGCGAACCATCGTCCAAAATCTCTCTCGAAGTTGATGTCACCTCCAGGGCTCGGCTTGAAGAAAGAATTGTCGAAGTCCATCCAATCCGTCCAGTGGTGGCTGAGGGCCAATCTCTCTCCAAAGGTGAATCTCTCCTCGAGGTTTGTCTGCGAATCGAGGTCCATCGGAGTCCTCGACCTCTCATGCCTATAAATTTCGTGAGAGCTGTGTGCATACCTACATTGAAGGGCTCACTTGTAACGCATATGCCAGTCTGCGTCCTCTTCGGTACGGAGTGGATAAAATATTCTCGCCATTTCATAGCAATATAAACAATAGAGTGGTTTGGCCAGTAGGTCAGAGATGGCAGTCCCGGAACTACTACTGGGAACTTGAGGTGCAGTGTTGCAAGGTGCGTCAGATGAGGATGATTGTGCCCAATCGTCGAGGTAGTAGGGCGATCTCCTGTTTCCAGACACTTCGGCAAGTTCCGAGCAGCAACTAATAAGAGAGGGGAGACTAGATGTCGAGTGAGTGTTCCAGAAAAGCTCCCTTTCAGGACGACAGAAACGTTACAATGCAATCAGTTCTCTGGCGCATGAATACAGAGACATTGTTGCTTACTGTGATGAGTTGGAGATAGCCAAGCTTTTCATTAGAGCCTCAGCGTACCATCTTTGTTCTTCGTAGACATGCTCAACCTAAACTAAGGGGTGAGAGAAAGCTCTGGCGGAGGTGATGGACCGGGAACTCACAAGTTTGTCGAAAGTGATCGCACCGCGGTAGTTTTGGTGGGAGCAATTACATGTAACGGGGCCAAGAGATAGAACGTCGCTCCTCGTAGTATCGGCTGGAAGCCTCAGAGCGTTAAGAACATCCTGCACGACAGCATGAAGCATTAGGTCGGCTTTGGGACAAATTTCGCTCCACGGCTTCAATGGGTTGGAATCGACGAGGTACTCGACGAGTTCTGGGAACGCTTTGATGACAGCAGGACCCAAAATGTCTCCCGGATCACAGACGAAGACGCATCCCGCCATGGCAAGCAAAGAGACTCCAGGGTCTTTGTCCGTCTCTCCCGGATCAAGTCGGGCCGAGTCGACGAGAACCGTCTCCAAATCGATTTCAACGGAAGCAAAAAAGTCCTCAGTTCCCTTAACGATCGATTCCATAAGGCCAGCCATAGCTGCGTCGGAGCAGTTGGCATAGTTTTCGGAGACGAAGGATGCGATGATTGACAGCTTTTCTACTTCAGCCCAGCCGGGCATACGGCGCCGTACCCCGGGGGGATGTGCCAAGCGATACTCCATCCAGCGGTCCTTGATTTGGCCCCACAAGACCTTGCTTAACTGTTCCTTCTTGCGACGCTCATAGATTGCCGTCATTTTGGGACGAATCAAGCTCCAACCTTGATTGACGTTAGATTTATGCCACCACAAAGTGTACTGCAGGACGTACCACGATCGGTCAATTCCTTGGTTTGGTACATAAAACGGCACCACTTCCTGCGATCGCCTGGATCGGAATCACACCAGCTGGGAAAGTATTGTTCTTCCCAACCCAGTTTATTCATCTCTTGCTTGATCCTGTAACATGTCAAGTGATTATTTTGCAGATTCGAGGAGGATACAACTCTACGTACCTTGTGAGGCGTTGATCAGCCATTTCTTTTGATCGCCTTTCTTTGTAACGAGAAATCCAGGACTGTATCGCCGATCCTTCCTAGGTAGAATATTATCAAGAAAGGGCCAGGACCAGGTTCGAACCACTTGTCTACGTACATTCATTGCGACTGTAGCGCGCAGATTACGGTCCCTCACGAAGACTTCGAATTCTTCTGGTGACTCCGCCTTTAAACTCCAGAAAGTTTGGATTTCCTGGATAGCCAACTGTAGCTCGGGGCGGAAATATGTTTGCGACTCGGTGTGATTGTTGGCGTCGAATTCTGCTGTTGGTAAGACTGTTCTATTACATCGTGTGAAATCCTAGATAGTCGTACAATACACTTACGCTCTGAAGCACTAACTCGAACCGCACGACCGTCGTAGCTCGGAATGATCTTGAAGGCCGTAGTTGCAACATCCCCGTGGAATTTCTTTTCCATACGTCCGTGGCATGTGCTATAAACAGTGAGAAAGGAGAATGACGACACAGTGTAGCGATCCACTTCATCTTTTTACAAGCTGCGCAGAATCTTAATCGCATCTTGAAGTCTGAGGTTGCGAAACGACGAGATGTCCCACATGCCTAGCACCAGCTCGTCAGCGGCAGATAGTACTCAAGAGGCGAGTTCTCACCATACAGAACGTATCAAACAGCAAGCTAGCATACTGTGGCTCAGTGAGATCTTCTGGACATGGAGGGATGTCATCCCCCAGGCGCCGTAAAACCTTCCTCCACGATGCGATCGTACTGCGAGACAGGAAGAAAGCTCGGAAGTCCTTCGAACTGCGGGATAAATTTAGCAGGTCAATGGGATTGAGGTGCGATATAATCTGTCTCAAAGGGGAGCTCAGAGGCTATAGCGCCCATGAGTTCGAGGAGATGCATATGGTACACACCTCGTAGACGATGTCCAACGGCAGATCCACAAAGTACTTCAATCTTCCGCCCCCTCTCCTCCCTTTATCACGGGGCTTTGAAATATTCAAGTACTTGGACTGTTCATTCGGTGGGATTATTAAGGACATCCGAGTTCCTGAAAGCCAAGGGTGCATCGGCGCCAGAAGCTCGTCAGACGATGATGTGGACTTTGAAAGAATCTAATTTCATGCCACATCAGAGACACTTACCAGCAGATAGTGGTAGTATAACATCTAGGCTTGACAGGACCATCTCTTCTGTACAGTGAGGTGAGGGTAGGACGCAAGAAGCAACGGGCGTCTAACACGAGGGGTCTGAGTAAGTAATGATGACGTAAGAAATAGTTCACACGCAGCACGTGTAACCCTTTGAACTTCGAACCCAGGGACCTCTCTACATGCAGGATACTGAGCTTTCCCATATCCTAGACAACACTGGCGTCTGGAGCTGCCGATTTGACCGTTATAAAGAAGGAATCATAGCCCGAAAGGAGCTTGAAATCTGAATCCGTAACCTACTTCCGTCACGGTCGAACTCTTCCCCGACGCTGTCTACAGCAATCTACAGAAATTCTGTTGCTACTTCGGCATGGCTCGAGACATGAGTGTCGACATTCTCCGTCGAAGGATTCCGTTCCTAGGCCCCTCTGCGAACCCAGCTTTGCAACCGCGAGGAGAGTATCTGCAAGGGGCCAGTACTAAGTAGAAATCCTGGGAGCTCATGTCTTTCTGCTTCGTAGTAGAGGACGCATAAGGACAACGGTGAGAGGGAATTGATAACAAATACATCCAAGGTTCGAGTGTTCTTACAAGATATTATACCCAGTGATAGATCCCATGAAACTTGTCCTAGTAAATAGCTTCCAACGTTTCGCACTCACAGCTGTATTAACAGATCCTGGTAGTGTCCGCACTTCAGGTCGAGCTTCGCGAGAATATTGATCCATGAAGACGTGGCCCTCCTCCAATCCAACTCACGTTCCACCTGGCGCGCAAGTTCTGGGAATTCCTCATGCAATCGCGCCCGAAGGTCCTGCAGCTCCTTCCCATACCTGGCGCCTTCTTCATGGCGTCCACGCATACAATAGTACAGCTGTAGCGTGTCCAACAACTCGGCCATCTGATTAGTATACCCGTTGTTCGTCTTCATCCTCTCATCGCTGAACACCTTGACACGGAGAATGTCCTTGTCGTCAAGCATGGAGCCGTTCGCAAACTGAGTGACGCAGACCTGCTTCAGAGCGTAGAAGTACGTGTTCTCCCAACGGGCAGGGTTCAAGGCCGACTTGGGAGGCTCCAGCTTTGTGATCTCGTCCAGGGCCTCCTGCGCGACTTTCGCTGCCTCGGCATGCTCCCCGAGGTACCACCAGCACGTCGAAACGTCGATCAGCGTGTTCGGCAAGAAGCAGAGGTCATCGATTTGTTCCTTCACCAGCTTGGCCATCGCCTCGCCGCGACAGACCTCCACAGCTTCCTTCGCGTACTCCATCGCCTTGGCCTCGTTGTGGTTGTAGTGATTTACCATGACACAGACTTGGAGAGTGCCGACAAGGTCGCTGATGAGTGACGGGTTGTTCTTGCGAACAAAGTCGAGTGTCTCGTTGGCGATCTCCAAAGCATCGGCGTATCGTCCCACCTCACAGCACAAGTGCGCCCGGCGGAACATTGCACCTGACGTCCGTGATACCAAAGTGGCGTCTGAGACGCCGAAGTCCAGTCCAAGTTTGATGGCTTTCTCAATAGGTTCCAACGCGCGCTCGCTGTGTCCCTGACAATCGATGATGCTGGCGTAGTCGATGAGTGCATTGATGTGTCGTCCAACAGCATCGGCACTTCTATCCTCATAACCCTCGAAATACTCTATCAGCTGGAGAATCCATGCCATCGCTTCTGGAGGGCGTTTCAAATCGGTGAGGATGCAAGAGAGGGTCGACATAGCCTCGGCCAGCGCGAAGCCGACGTCTTTCGGATAGTCCTTAATCAGCTCCTTGAACTCGTGGACGATCTCTTCGCCAAACCCTACTGACTTCTCCGGATGGGACAACCTGTAGATAATAGATATAGCAATCCGCAAGCAACGCACGTACGCCGCGATGTGGTCTGCACGCGTCTCAACTAATGACTGATAGGTCCTAACGGCCTCTCGACTGGCTTCATACGCAAGTTCCAGATCGCTTGCGTCGCAGTGGATGTGGCTAACGAGCGTCTGCGCCTGTGCGACACGCTTTGTCTCGTCGGGGTTGTTCGCGGCCAGAATCTTGTACTGGGCCAAGGCTTCTTCGGCGGACTTGAGAGCCTCAGGGTAACGATGGGCTAACTGGAAGTCGACGGCGAGATCGTAGTGTCCATTCGCCTCCACCACAGAGGCCGTTTTGTGGATCTCGTGATACGTTTGGACGGACTCGAGGCGAATTGTCACGGCTTCATCGTGTCGCTGGAGCTTGCGCAGGCTCCAGCAAGCCTGGTATAGCGCATCCGCGAGGAAGGTCTGGTCAGCGATGATCCTCTTCGCGAGATCAGCAGCTTTCTTCCACGTCTTGAGAGCGTCGTCGGTTTGGTCCAGCAAGCCGTGGATCGTCGCTTTCTCCCAGTACGCCGAGTACAAGTACTGCCCGTACTTCTTCGAATCGTGTTCGGTGAACAGCTCGTAGATCATCACACACTCTTCCGCGTAGAACAAGGCTTGAAGGGCTGGAATGATGGAGCGGAAGTCTCTGTGGCAGAGGCGGTAGAGCATCTCGGCGAGTTCCGTCTCTAAAATCGAGTCAGGGTAGAGCGGGCATAGGGACTGCATAATCTGTGAGGCCTTCTTCTCGACATCGATTGCGTCCTCCAGCCGTCCAAGTGATTCGAGGGTATACGACTTCTGGTGCAGCGCCCTGGCGTAGTCACATAGGGCTTTGTCCGACAGGGTAGTGATTGCGGAATCATCCACTCCCTCCGCGTCCGCGATGCCTCGTTGACGATACGACATTCGCTCAAAGACCGCAGTAGCTTCGTTAATGGCCTCCAAACCCTTCTCGTGGTCGTTCTTTAGGCCAAGCATCATCGCATACGTTGACAACACGCCACCGAGCTGAACAGTCAGCTCCTCGGCGTCGGGCTGCTGCTCCACCAGTTTCCGGCTCAGCCTCAGCGACTCTTCAATGGCGTCGATCGCTCCATCGAGATTGTCAACGGCTTGGTAGTATTTCGTGACGTGCCGGAGCGTGTGGATGAGGTATGGCATATATATTTTCTCGTCCATCTCGACAAGCTTGCGGAAAAGGTTGACCGTCCAGGTGCCCATGTTGGCCGCTTCTTCGAACATGCTCAGGTTGAACAGTCCGATCGACAGGTTCACCATCTCCCATGCCCCTTCTTGAATCGACATCGTCGTTGATCCTTCCCGCAAAATACGCTGAAGTTCCAATGCCTGTGTTACAACACTATCGTGGAGCATGCTTGGGTCGATAGAGTCGAAGGAACGAGCCATAAGAGGTTGGAACGGGCGGGTGTACTCCTCCATGTGCTCTTCGACCTTGGCGAATTTAATGGCGCTCAGGTCCATAAGAGATTCGTTGATGACTTTGACTTGAAGCCGAATATACATGTCGGCGATGAGATCGGCGGTGAGTCTTGAGGATGCCATCGACAGCTTCGTCGTAGATGATGAACCCATGAACTGCACTAGTTGGCCCTCGGTCACCTCAGCACGAAGCTCTTCCTCGTCCTCGTCTTCTCTGGGACGTATTAGGCCCTTTGTGCGAATAATTTGGCCGATACTGGAATGGGCTATGGCTACGAGGAATTTCTCCACACGCTTCACGGTGAACGACTGGAAAAACCTCAGCTTAGATGACTTGGACGTTCAGCGGAAGAACTTACTGTGAACCTCATATGGCATTGGTTGACATCGTTGACCAGTTTGAAGATGTCTTTCTCCATTGACGGCGGCTGATGTCTCCATGACTGAAGGCCCTGCACCAGTTTCGAGATGACGCCAGCCGATGGCGGAGGTGATGAGGCCTCGCAGCATTTGCGATAAAGGTCTTCCGTTTCCCTATCACACCTCGATGAGAAAAGATCAGCAGGCACAAAAACGTGACACTCACTGAACGACCTGACCAAGTAACTTCCTCATCGCAGTCGAACTCTCCAATAGGTCATGATGCTCATTGCAGAACGTCTCCAACTCGCGAACGGCTTTGAATAACGCAGTTGCCGCAGCCTTTGCCGTCTTCTGTCGCGAATCCTAGAAAACTCGATTAGATACTCGTACGCATGCTTTCAAGGCCACTGACCGTGGAGAAACAAGTGAAGATGTTCTCGGAGGTGTCGACAAGATCCTTCAGTGCCGTCCTCAACGCAACGACTGGAGGAACAGCAGACAGCAGCTCCGGTGCGGTGGTTGATGTCGCCAGAGGGGGCATTGAAAGGTACAATCCGTGAGCGCTTGCTCCGGGGTAGAAAAGCTAATTGAAGGCACAGCTCTCAGGCTCGGCCACAGCCTCAGCCGACCAACAGATAGCGATTGTCAATCATCCAGAGTAAATAAGTGCCTTCAGTCGAGCTGTCGGAAATGCGCCGGAAATAGGTCTGACTCGCTCCCATCTGCATCGTGTTCGGCGGTTGGTCGGCGGTAGTGGGCAAGAATCAAGATGAGGAAACGGTTCTGACTAAGAGGTCGTTTGCGGCTTCTGTGCCTGACGCGGAAGAGCTCTTCAGTGGGTCAGTACGGCGTTCGGTCCCAGATGATAGCAATCCAACTAATAACAAGGGCTTACCCTCTCTATGAACTTTTCAGAGATCAGCCCCGAGCCTGGTAAGAATAGCCTCAAGACAGAAAACTGCGGTAAATGTGCATGCCTTAGCATCGATAAAAGGCGGGGCTGTTGGGCTTGAAGCTTGAAGCTTGAAGCCTGAGCAGAGACGGCTCAGACTCGGAAACACTGTCGTTTCCGAGCTAGCACCGAACCTGCGGCACAGAGTAGAAACAGCGGTAAGCAGATGCATAGATCCAATTACTCTCAGAGCAACGACAACTTCTCAAGAAGGACCTTCTTTCCCTTGGCCTCACTGCCCTCAATCTCCTTAACCACATCCTTTCCAAACCAGTTCTTCACTTCCTTTCTCACTTCCTTTGCTTCTCCCCGCAGCAATGCGTCGCAGAGCTCAGCAACAACAAACGCGCCGTTTCCCTCTCCTCTGCACATGCCCACCGTCTGATCCCGACCAACGGTTTTGACAAACTCCTGTGCGAAAACCGTAGAATCCCACAGTGATGTAGGCACCCGTTCAACAGAGACAGTGGAGTGATTGTAGTGGCCGCCTTGAAGGAGAGTTTTGTACAGTCGAGATGTTGGTGGGAGATCTATTGGATGAGGGTCTGTCGTTGAAGGAGAGGCGAGGGCTTTCAGTAGCGCTTGGATCGCATCAGCTTTATCTGTCATTTTTGAAAATAAGCCCTGGTTTAAAACCTCTGCGAGAAACACGCGCACCTCCTTCAGCATGCAACATGACTTCACCAACCACCAAGCTTCCACTCGGTTCTCTAACTAGGTTCTCCCCAGACTCAGTGATCCACCGAAGCAGGTCCTCACTCGCTGCCCGGCGCACCTCCTCTTCTCTGCTCTCCGCACTCTTCTTGCTCGTCCGTGACCGAGCTGCGTCGGTCTCCGCCAATGACGCAATTTGGGCAGGCGTGAAGTGTCGTCTTGTCCGTGGAACGACGAGGTAGAGTAGACTACGACGTCCTTGGGTGCTGTTGTAGAGTTTTGGTGCTGACACTGTGATAGCCGATACCAGACCTTTGGCAAGCAGTTTGGTGTCACTATTGGCTGTGTGAGTATACTCGGTAGAATCAGAGGAAATGCGAACTGACTCAGTAACATCTAGAGCGGTGAAAAGGACGAGCTGTGCCTCATCATCTAGACACATGCGTTCTATGTGAGGTTTCAGGACTTTGAGAATCTGTTTTCGATCCTACGAGCAGAAAGTTGAAAATATGAAGGAAGAAAAAAAGAGCCCAGCTTTGCCGTACCTTCGCTGTGCCCTGCGCCAGAAATTCGCGAACGATTCGACTGCCATCCCTTGTGTGAACCATCTCAGCCAGGAGTTCCTGACAGCTGCAAACGACATGAGTTTGAGACCATAAGTGCAGTGACTAGCGTTCCACACCTGTCGAAAATTTCTCTTCTGAGTTTTTCCCTCTCTGCTTCATCTGGAGATTCATTGATCGCAGAAAGGTACTCCCACAACGCACGATGGACTATAACGTGCGTTACGGCACCTTTATCGGAATTGTTGAAACTGCTACTCCGTCACTTTACGTTCTGTGAAGGGGAATGGAAATAAGCGCACATATTCATGAGAATATCCTTGAGGGCGGCAAGTATTCTTCTCCTTCTCTCGCTGTCTGCCCCTTCAAGAACACCGTTGAGTCCCTTCTTCGCCCGTGTCTTGTCTTCCTCACTGCCATGTGTCACTGAGAATAAAGAGGCCTCTTTTCCGTAAAATTCTCGTAGCAAAATCGTCCGCTCGTACGCATTGGCGTAAAGCTCGAACGCGTCTGCGAGTACAGAAGATGCCTCTTTGTGCAGCAGCATTCGGATAACTTGCGATTGGAACTCGAGAAGGATCGATGCTCGATGAGCTGGGCAGAATCGAATGAGCTTCGTCGCGAGGAACTGAAAGACATTCATGAACCATTTCGGAAAAATGAGATATAGACGGAATATCACCCTCGAGTATTTATTCTGCGCCAATTCCCTGTACTTTCCCTTCAGCTCAACCGCGATCTCGTCCCGCTCCTTCTGGCCTCCGTGTTTTACAGCCGTTTGCACTATCCGGCTGGCGTCATGCTTGAAGACGATATCCTTCACTTTTCCTCGGATCACGTCCATGAGGCTCCTCAAGTGTTTTTGGCGTTCCGCTGGCTTGAGGTTTTTCTGTCGAGCGAGTGACCAAACCTTCTTGGCCTCGACTAGGAGAGATGAATTGGGTTTCGCAGCACGTCGTTGATCAAACAGCGCTTTCTGAGCTTTATGTGATTCACGAGCAGCTTGATTGAATGAATAAATTTAGAGCAATTCTCCAGCGAAGATTATAAGACATACCGTTTGGGTCTTTGGGTTTTATGTCCACTTGCATTGAGTTCTCGTCCTGTTCTCTTGCTAGCGCGACATCGTCGTCTTCGCCCCCGCTGTCTGCATTCTCAAAGTCCTCCTCCGAGTCCGATCCTGTCTCTTGCACTGCGACAGGTTGTGTAACGGGCCGACTCCGCTTTTTATCAGTTGTTGAGGTCTCTATGTGGGGTTTTTTGGATTTTGATCCAGCCTGAGACGGTGCTGGTCGTTTATTGCTGGATTTATGGAGCGGCGCCATGGCTTGGACCAGGGGAAGAGGAGGCACTGGGGTAGTTGAAGATTAAGAATTACGGACCGAAGAACTTTTTGTCACGTTGACTGTGACCGTTGGGTGACATATTGAGATTCCGTTGACGGCCCGCTATACCGTTCTTGTCGTTGACTCGTCCGCCGACAGCAATCTGAAGCCACGCTGCAATGTTCGCGTTGAATTCTACCTATTCAGACGCCAGGAAACGCTCACGCTAAGAATACTGATAGGCCACCTAAAGGCGGATTTAAGAAAAAGCTTCCCTCCGATGGAACTTCGACACCCCAAACGCCTGTACGTGAATTCACTAGCACTTCTCTCGCGTCAAACGTCCTCAAAGCCGCTTCTCTGCAGTCATTAGCTGTGCAGCTATCTTACCTGCACCAGCCACGTCCTTTCAAGAACCCATACTACACCAAGAACGTCAACCGGCGTGCAAAGAACCTCAAGACCGTTCTTGGGCAAGAGAGGGAACGTGAAAGGACAGAGAGGGAAGCTAGGAGGCTAGAGAGGGAGGAAGTCATGAAGGACAATCCAGAGGCTGTGGTAGATATACCGGAAGAGGTTCCAACATGTGAGTTCTTGGACGATGGCTTCTTATGCTACGTCTTGAAAGAATACTCTTGAAGATACGACGATTGAGGCACCGCCTTCTGTTCTTCCTCATCGACATCTATGCGACATCACAGGTCTAGAGGTATGTTCAATTTTTTCGTAAAACCAAGACCTCTCGACTTCGTATTTCATTCCAGGCACCCTACACAGATCCTGCAACTGGTCTCCGATACCACGACAAGAGCGTTTACGAGATTGTCAAGGGTCTCGTACGTTTCACGTTTTGGATAGCTTCCTCCTCAGCATTGATGTTTTATACAGAGTACGAGCATTGCGAAGGACTACCTTGCGGCACGAGGTGTCAATTCCATCGTCAAATAGTCTTTCGATGCTACATAGTTGGACCTTCCCTGTATTGAATGTAATGTAAAATCTACTATGTATCATACTGATACTTTTACCCTGCAACTATGAAGGAGATCCGGTCAGCTGCCAACAGGACTTCAAATCTGCCACGGAGGTCGTGAAGCACTATGACGGATTTCCGTTCCTGTAACATTTCGTGAGCCTAGATTCACCCGCAGATGGAGCTCACAGTGGAAAGAAAACGGGTACCCAATGTCACCTAGACTAGATGCAGTGGTTCCGACTCGCGTCGTTACTGCAATAGAATGGTCGCCATTGACTTCGATCTCATAGCTGGCAGGCAGGAAAGGGTTGAAGCCTTAGATCAACGTTGGATGACGCCTGAAGAGGCGAGAAACGCGTTTGATGACACCAGGCGTATCAATCCTATGACGGGCCATGAATGCATATGTGCGCGAAAAAATGGACAACGTACGTACTGCTGATCTTGAACTTAGCTTGAACTCTTTCATGATGTCGAGGAACGGATTATCGATGTGTGTCCGGTCCTGGAAGGTAGTTGAGGGCATCCATCGCGTTCAAAGGTTGACTGCGCGGCTGGGCGGCGGTTGCAAGAGCGGTGGGTTGAGTAACGAATATTTGAATGTTGAACACGAAGCAAGCGGCGAGCCGAGGAGGCTACTTATGTCGAACACGGGTATCAGTACCATTGCCTTCATAATCCAAGTCCTTGAAGTAACCAATGCAGCCCTTCAGACCACTCAAGGCGTTCTTTGGCGAGAGGGATCCCAGGCAGTCGCCAGGAAATGAGTAAACCTTCTGAAATGAGGTTGTGCATGATTGGAAAGCGTCGCGCGAAAAAAAAAGTGGTGAGCGCTTGCCAGCTCCAAAGCTTCCGGTGGAACCAGGCGATTTTGTGCATGCTCAGGCAGCAGCCCACATCCAGCGAGGATAAAGAGCCGCCGCTCCTAGCAACGGCAAGGCGATGCTGTAGCTCACCATTTCGTCATGTCCATATCCCTTTCGCTGCTCAACTGGGTCCAGAGAGTCCGTCGGAGTCTCACCCAGGTCTGCGACAACTTGGGCGGGAACATCATTGCCTTGAACGTACTGATAGCATTGCATTAGCCAGTGTTGCTCAGACGAACACCGCGTGGACGATCGAGACCTGCTCCCTCTTCGCTAGGCGGTGAATTCCACGTATGCAGTTTGCGTTATTGTCACGGTTTCGATTTCTGCAAGCAGGGGTTATCGCGTCGTTCAGCTGGGGAAGTAGATAAGGGACCTACCCTCTGGGTGCTGGGGCACTCTTCCGCTTCTGGGTTCCGCCTAGAGTCGAGTCCAAGCCGTGTATACGTTGCATTCATGGGATTTGCCTAGGATAGCGCGTTCTACCGACCTGTGGCACGTCCGTTGGTGATAGTACTTCGTGGTTAGTGAAGAAGGTCGGCCTCTCCAAGGCCCATTTTAGATATCGATCACTTTTACTACTACTTTGCGTGCGTGCCTGACAACGGCTGAGAAGGTGCCTCGAAGAAGCATCCAAAGGTTAATGATGCTCAGCTACGTAGTGGGAAACAATCCAATGTGTTGAATGTATTGTTATTGTAAAGCTCGACGGTGTACATGTGTATTATGATGACACTTTTAAGGTACTACGAAGGACTACGAATAAAGTAAGTGCGAAAACGAGCGACAGGCGACCTCCACGAAGACTCAGGCGCCGCCATTAGACGAACTTCCAGCGGGAAGATTAGAAGCGAATACGAAAGTAGGAGCGAATACAAATGAGAGTAAAAACGATAGCGAGTAAATAAATAGCGATGACAAGCAAACGCACACGAGCTCATGAAGGCAGGAAGCCGATCTCTCTCCAATACGCCATCCATTTCTTGACGTCATGTTCCCCGAGTCTTGAGACGGTGTCGGCCTGAAGGGAAGGCGATGCCCAGTAACCCTTGTCAGACACAACTTTTGCGAGAAGTCCTCCGCTCTCCGTGTGGAACCTTGATACGCCGAGCGCAATGCCGTAGAAGTGGGTCAACCGGAGTGCAGCACGTTGGTTGACCATGGCAGGGCCATGCTCGTCGGCGTCACGGGCTGACGCCTCTAGCCGGGCAAACCACTCGACGTATGGTACGAGAGGGACGTTCAGAATCTTCGAGGCAGGTTTGACGAGATCGTTCCACTGAGTCGGGTTGGGGTGGATGAGATGTAGAGTGTCAGAGGGAGTGCGGCGCATGTCGACGATGGCGGAGGCAGCGAGGTCAACAGGGATCCACGAAACAACCTGAACGATAACCAATGCTCAGCATACATAAGGAGGGATTAGTTGAAAAAGGAGACGTACATCATCAACTTCGGGTAGGCAACCAATATAAACTGCAGACTGGACGATACCAGGGAACCACTGAGAAGGATCCCAACTGCCGTTGACGCCGCCAGTGAGCAGACCGACTCGGATGACGTTAGTCTGTAGGCCACACTTCTCGCCAGCAATCTGGAAGAGGCGCTCCGCGACCCACTTCGACTCGATGTATCCGGTCTGAATCGACACCTTGGGGTCCAGGACGGAGGCCTCTGGAGCGTACTCGGGGTCAGAATCCTTGGCGACTGCATACATCGTTAATATCGTAGAAATAAGTGCACATTGAAGGCATACCTTGGTATGTGCCAATCGAACTGATATAGGAGAGGGACGGCTTGGACGCGAGCCTCGAACGTTGGGCGAAGTCAAGCAACTTGCGAGTACCCTTGATAAGGTCTTCATTGTCAGCGAGAGAAGAGACGAAATCAACTCTCCATGCTGAAGAACATTTCGGTCAACAACCGCTTTATAGCTTCAGGCTAAGCGATAGACGCACCATTGTGGATAATGTGAGTGACAGAAGACAGCAGCTCGTCCTCACGCTCAGCGCTCAAACCAAAGCGATCTTCCGCGAGATCTCCTTCCAACAGAACAAGTTTGCCTGATTCGAGGAGCGAGACATCAAGACCTTGACGAACGAACACAGCTTCCTGGCAACCAACGAGAGACATCAAGTTTTGCCTGACCCGATTGAGCGCATACACGAGCTTGACTGATGGGTTCTTGAGGAGGTTCTCCAACACGTTCGCTCCCAAAGTGCCCGTCGTGCCAGTGATGAGGACGACCTCCTCCGACGGCGCCAATGAGCTTGACGGTGACACCGACGGGCCAGCCTCCAGGCCGGCGCTGTACTTCGCAAGCATCTCCGACATCAAGTCGGCCTTATTCCGACTCTGCACTGGCTTCGAGGTGGTTTGCTCTTGCACCGCCTCGACGTTGGACTGAGATAGACGAACAAGGTCGTTGAGAGTGATGTCGGCGAGGAGTTGGATTTGGGTGACTTCAACAAAAGGTCGGAGAAGGAAAGAGATCCGAGAGGCGGAGAGGGAATCGATGCCGTAGGCTGTGAGTGGGACGTCGGGGGAGAAATCGGCTGCGGGTACGGCAAGGACGTTCTTGATGACCTCTGTCATGCGCTCGGAGTCGTCGACGTCGTCAGAGACGTCCACAACTTGATCTGCGAGGAGGTGCGTTCCAAGACGCGGCATGCCTTGAGTTCGCTCCAAGGCTTCCCAGTTGAGATCAGGCACGTAACGAATGATACGTCGGCCGTGCTGGAAGCGCGCCATGGCGTCGTCGAACCAGCGAATCATATCTAGGAAAGGGTCAAAGGTCAAAGGCGGTAAGGATTATCGAAGGTCTTGTGACTTACCTTCCGCGGAAACCGACCAGGGAATGAGCGCGCTGAGACGAGTTTCGTTGGACTTCCCAGTACCCGCAAGCATCAAAGTAGAGTCTAAAATGCCCGGGCAAATGAAGGAGAAGCCATTCGAGCTCTCGGCTGTATGATGCTCGAGGGCAGTATTCCCACTGCGGGAACACAATCAGCTATAATTTATACAGGTGGCGTAGGCAGACTTACGCTCCATAGTTCGTCTGACCCCCGAATCCAATGAGACCCGAAACCGAGGTGAACGAAACCAGGAAGTCGAGATCCTGGATATTGACAGACTGCTTGAGAGTGTCCAGGACCCCTATCTTTGCATGGAAGACGCGAGAAAATGCTTCTTCGTTTAGGTGGCGGAAGATGCCATCTAAGAGGACAGCAGTGAGGACAATACACCCACCAACGGGACCGAGGTCGTCCATGAAGGTCCTCATGCCCGCTTCATCAGTAGCATCAAGTGCCACAAGAGACAATCGAAGTTCGGGCCGGGCCTTCAAGTAGTCGACCATACGGCGCACGACGACGTTCGTATTGCTTTCGAGGCTCTTCTCTCCAGAACGCGATGTAAGGACGATGTGCCGAGCACCTCGCTGTAAAGATCGCGATCGTGAACAAAAAGATTCAGTGTTGTCCACGGAAGAGACTTGCCTGATACATATACAACGCCAGGTGGACGCCAATTGTCCCAATCCCTCCTAGAATAACGTACGCTTTCTCTTCTTTAAATGAAGCGTGGATAGAAGGGCGATCCTGGCGAAGGTCGCCGTTGGCGGCAGTGACGCGAAGAGGTGGCGGTGGCGCTAGAGAGGGAAGAATCTCTTTCACACCTAGCAAGCCGAAGCGTAAAGCGTCGCCCACCGCACATGGGTCTCGGTCGAGGATGGCAGCAAGCCCTTCCGCCTCGTCGCTCCACGAGAAGGCCTTGCCCTGCTTCGGACGCACCAGAGTGTCGACGACTTGAAGATACGAACGATCAGAATATCCGGATATGATGACGTCATACGCCTCGACAGGAAGCTTGGCGAGGGTGTAGAGGCTGGCGTTTTGGGGGACGCGATCGACTTGGGCTCCCTTCTGTAGGAGAAGGGCAGCGGCGCTCGAACCGATGGTGGAGTCGCTATGTGTTAACAAGATGCGAAGCTTGGAGAGACGGGTAGGGCGACTAAGAGTAGCCTGTCCGAGTGCGAGAACCGCGGCGACGAAACCGAGGATGGCAGCAGAGGTGACCGAGAGATGCTTGAGGTAATCATCGGAAACAGGGAAGACGCTGGCAGCGTCCAACTCCATGTATTCCTCCGTTGAGCTGTGAACAAGGGCAGCGACGAGAGTGTTAGGTTGGATATCGGTGGCATTCGCATCTACAACGGATGCAACGATTCCAGAGACGTCGTTTTGGTCTGAGGAAGACAGAACACGGACGAGAATATGATCGACTGCTAGCCGTCTCGAACGAGTGTCAGACTTCCTGTCGGAGCGCGGTTGAAGAGCTTCGACTGGGGCCAGACGAGGTACCAGAAGGCGATCTTCCGAGACAATGACGTCGCGTTCCGAACGTAGCTCGGTGGGTAAGTGCTCGAGGAATTCCTGACGCATGTCTTCATCGTACGAAGACGGGAAGATAACCAGGCGGATAGTCCACGAAACATACTCCCGGCGAAGGGCTCGCACCAGACCTTGGGCAGCACCTCCGTCCCTCCCTTCAGTCGCTACGATCCACACGTCGAGTTGCTGCACGTCGTTGAGTCCGGAGAGTTCCCACTGCAAATCCATCTCGCTGCCATAGCTATACGCATATGCGAAGGACTCGATGGGGTCGAAGAGAGGCGATGAAGGCAATGTTTGTGGGGGCCAACTAGGCTTCTGGCACTCGACGGAAAAATGGAAGGGGTCGTAGTCTTCGGAGCTGTGGCTGCGCAAAACGTCGAGTTGTTGGTCCTTCAACGACTCTAGGTAAGAACCCAGAGAAAACGTCTCCTCCTTGGAGGGTGCGCCAAGGTAGGCGTCGTACCACATGGTACCGAGATAACCCATGTCCCAGGCATCGAGATTACGCTCGGTCATGATGCAGGTACCTCCAGGAACGAGGAAGGTCGAGGCAGCTTTAGCGATGGACGCAGGATTGGCTTGCTGAGAGGCAACGTTGAAGAACAAGACGATATCGAAGAGGTGGTCCTGGAGGCTCTCGGACTCGGCGCCGTTGAACGCAATGCGTGTGCTGCGAACGATGCCCGATGGTACATTGGGCAAGGACTGAGCCACATGCTTGTTGTCGATGAAGAGCTCGAAGTACAAGGACGGGAATCCTTGTACAACAGCTTCGAGACCCTTGCGGAAGAGCTCAGATTTCACTAGAGGAAACAGGTTGGTCAGAACGAATCAGATGAGTGAAGAAAAAAAATACCGTTATCGACAACGAGAGCTTTGACAACGCGAGTGCCTGACTTAGCGAGTTCGTTCAAAGCTGCACGCAACGAATGCATGGTGCACTTGATAGCTTCATCAAACTGGGGACCTTCAGAAGACGGAATCGTCTATGACACGATTAGTTACAAATAAAATAACATAACTATGATGAGCTTACCTCGACAGCCTTGAACGTTTCAAAGTACGGCGCACATTCTTGATGAACGCTCTTGAAGGGAGGCATGGCGATGTTCAGATTCGGGCTATAACAAGATATCAATACGCGAAGACATTGCGAAACTCGAAAGTGAGAACACGAACGTTTGGAGACCTCCAGCACGTTGGAGCATTTTTGCACGAATAGAGATCTTGTCAAGACTGCCGAAGAGGTCGGAACGATCTTCGCCCTTGTACGCAGGACCGTCGATGGAGCGCTTCGCGTGGAAGACTGGTTGGTAAGCCACTTCCAAAGGACGAATTGGATCCGCAACAGGCGTAATATGGTGCTTGGCGACGTGGAGGCCGACGAAGGAGCACAGACGGACACCGTCGTCGTTTACAAGAGTGATGTCGTAGTGAATGGCATCTATGTCGAATGAGCATTAATTCTGCGCTAGTCACGAAGCAACATACCTGGAAGCCAGTTCTTCAACTCGACGTGCGCGTAAACATGCGCTGGGAAGTAGCTGGGCTTTAAAGCCTGATGGACGATGATGGCGTCGACGTGCGCAGGGAGGTAGTAGACATTAGGGTCGTAGTCGCCGTGGAAAGGCTTGTAGGCGGAGACCTGGATGCAGGCGTCGAGGATCGCGGGATGAAGCAAATACTTGCCATCACTGTTGTTCTGATCAGTAAAGGTGAAAGCATGATTTATCAAGGTAATCTTACCCAGCAAGGACAGAGTCCATTCCTTTGATGGACGCGAGTGCCTCGTTGCGGTTGAAGAAGACGTTTGTCACGCGCTGGAAGCGTGGCCCATACGCCGAAAAGTAGGAAAGGGAAGGATAGAATCCTGGGAGACGAGCCATTCAGTTCCAGGAACGGAACTATCAACAAGAGCTCAACTAACCTGACCCAATGTGCTCAGGGCACCTGGCTCGAATAGCCGCGATGTCCACAGGCAGAGCAACGCTGGGGATCTCGAACGATAAGTAACCATCTGCGTGTAGACGTTCGCTCTGAAAAGGTCGTTAGAAAAAGGAATTATTAATTACATAATCATGAACGAACTGTAGTCGGGGCGTGGTCTTTGCGACCCTTCGAGACGGACACTGACTTGACGGTCCAGTGGGCACCATCGAGGTTCACATTGACCTTGGTCGGCTTCTCCGAAGACAGCGAAAGTATCGAACGCATGTTGACGTTCATGAGCGTAGAAGCACCAAACTCCAGTGCCTGGGAAAAAAGATATCAGATACAATAAATTAACAGCGCTCCAGCAGACGTACCATTTCCAAGAAGCCCGCTGCAGGCATGATTGGCTCGCCTCGAATGATGTGCTCCGCGAGCACAGGGTGCGACTCCTTGTTGACACGAAGGTGGGTGTAGTTCAACGGTCCGCGCTGAACCTCCATCTGCTTGAGCGTACCGGGCGTGTCGGGATACAGAGGATACTTCTTCTTGGAGAACGGATACGCAGGCAACGAACGCCTAAACTCAGAGCATTTGCGGCCGTTGAGAGTCGTGAAGTCGACAAAGTTGTGCCCAGCACACGTAAGCTTGCCCAAGAGGTGGAGGACGTCGACGTACTCTGTTGGCGGGGCTCCGCGCTTGGGACGTTGTGCAGAGTGCAGGACGGTCGAACCCTCCGATGCCATCGAAACGACGTAAGAAGAGAGTACGGGATGAGGGGCAATCTCGACGAAGGATGCGTTGGGCAGAGCCTGACGGATACCAGCCATCGCCTCAGTGAAACGAACTGGAGAGACGGTGTTGTCCCAATAGTATTCTGCCTCGAAGGAGCCCTCGAAGAGCTGGCCGGTGCAAGTAGAGTAGACTGGTGTCGTGGGGCGATGTGGACCCGGATACCTCTCAAACAAGTCCTTGAGGGCGGCCGTATAATCTTCCTTCGCCGCGTTCATCATCGACGAATGGAAGGGCACCCGAGTGCGAATCTTCCGGGCGAACTTCTTGCGAGCCTCGGCCATGCTGACAATCTTGTCGATGGCTGTTTCCTCTCCAGCAATGGCGACAGCAGACGGGGCATTGTAGCACGCCAGTTCGACGACCGCCTCCGTGTTCTCCTCGCGATACTCCCTCAACAACTCACCCCATTCCTCGGGGCTACACGAAATCGCAGCCATAGTTCCTCCAAGCTCCTCGACCGGGGTGAAAGAGCGACCACGAATGATGGCAAGCTCGACGGCCATAGCCTTCGGGGCGGCGCCAGAAGTGTAAAGTACGGCGGTCTCGCCAGCTGAGTGGCCGACGATCGCGTCTGCCTTGACGCCTAAGCTCGTCAACAAGTCGAAGAGCGCGATCTGAAAGATGGAGATGGAAGGCAGGACAAGGGCGATGGGCCAGATGTCCGGCAAAGGAGTGGCGGCAGACGCGCCAAAGAGCCCGTAGTCGTGGATGATCGATTTGCCGGTCGTCTTGATGAAGACCTCGTCCATCTCGAGGACGCTATCGCGGAAGACTGGGAACGCTCCAAAGAGCTCACGGCCCACTACGCAAAGATTATGAAATCAGCAACTAGACGCGTCTACTGCACGTGAGACTGGCTTACTATGAACGTGCTGAGGGCCTTGTCCCGAAAAGACATACACAAGTCCGTTCGGGTTACGAGGGCAGTGCTGAGGCGTGGACACATCCGCCAACTTCTCCTGGCCAGGGTGACCAATTGTGTACGACCTCCAGGTGGCTTGCTTCGACCTCCGCCCAAGGACAGTCGATAACGCCGACAGGTCGTCGGAGTACTTCCCGAAATCTTGCTGGATCGACTGCGCAGACGAAGTCGCGGTTCTCGACGAGAGACCTCCAGTCAGGAGAAGGACCGGTCGCTTCATTTCAACATCCTTGACTTTAGGCGCCCCTTCAACGCGAGGCGGGCCTTCAAGAACGACATGACCGTTCGAGCCGCCGATGCCCGAGCCCGCGATGGCGACGAGAGACTTGCCGTTTGCTCTGCACGGAAGCGGAGTCGGCTCGAATGGAACTCTGAGACGATACTCGTCCCACTTGATGCCCGGGTTGAGCTTGCTGATGTTGACCTGGGGCGGGATCGTTTGCTTCTCAAAGATAGAGATAACCTTCGAGAGCGACGCAAGGAAAGCCGTGATCTCGGGGTGGCTGCAACACGACATGTCCGTCAGCCAAAATAACATGACATACACCACCAACCGGATAAGTTGGCGAATGTGAAGGATACTTACCCGATATTGCCCTTGACACTGCCGACCACAAGCTCGTCTTCTCTGTGGAAATGCTCGCCCACCCAGTTGGCCTCAGTGGGGTCTCCTTTTGCCGTGCCTAATGAAAAACACGAGCAAAAGAGTTGATCAGTCAGATTGGTGCACCGGCGGAACGTAAAGACGAGCTAAGATCGCACCTGTAGCATGTAGTTCAACATAATCCACCTCGCGAGGACTCCTCCCAGCGCGCTGGAACGCTTGGAACATTGCATCACGTTGGGACTCTGCTACTGGGGCACCTGGGGCCGCGGCCGCACCGGTGGAGTTGATTGCAGTGCCCAAAACCTAGATGTATCATTTTGATGTGAGAACGTCGCGTGCAGAGGATATGGAAGACACGACGCACTGTTGCGTAAATGTGATCATTGTCTCTCAGCGCGGCGTCAAGGGGCTTGATGACCACGACTGCGCATCCTTCGGCACGAGCAAATCTAGGCAAAAAAATAACCAAGTTGGCTTGGGGAGAACGGCGAAAGACATGGCCGAAAATGCATACCCGTCTGCGTTGCTATCAAAAGGCTTGCACTTTCCGTCTTTGGCAAGCAATGACCCTTGACTGTATGTGACCCAGTCAATGAACCTTCCAAAAAAAAGCCTGTCAGCGTGAGATAGCACCAGAAAAAAAATAACAAGCACCGATGGTTCAGTTGGCAGCCTCCAATGACAGCGGCTTCACAATCTCCGGTTGTAATCGCCTGGACCGCGAGGTGCAAAGCGGTCAGAGTGGAGCTACAGGCGGTGTCGATGGGGAAGGATGGCCCGAGTAAATCGAGATGGTTAGAGATGCGGTTGGCAATCATGGAATTGTAGCCAGCGAAAGAACCACGGGCGTCGAACTCGTCCTGCACAAGCAGGAATTCAAATTAGTACGTCCTATGACATTCCAGGTGCGAAATGCGTACCGCTTCGGAAACGTTTGTAAGCTCAAGGGACGTTCCCGCTGTGAAGCATCCGATGACCTTCGTTCTATAGTCAATTCCCGAGTCGAGAAGGGCAAGGAATGTATTCTCGAGAAGCTTGCGAGTCGCTGGCGACATCGCCTGGGCATCCTTGGATGAAATGCCGAATTCGACGTTGTCGAAAGTGTCGATATTTTTTAAGAAAGATCCTCGGTCGACATGAATCTTGCCGATACCGGTTCCCTTCCAGCTAATGGGACAAGCCGAATTAGCTTGAAGATGGTTTCAAATAAAACATTAAGACGCACGCTTCGATATTGAATCTCTCCGACGGCATCTGCTCATAGGATTCACCAGACGACAGCAAGAACTCGAAAAAGGATTTGTGGTCGAGGTTCTCCGAGGAATAGTTGCCACTAGGGAGCTCGACCGAAATACCAATCTGAACAGCACGAAAAATGGTCAGCGACGCGTCTCTTCGTGAGGAAGGCAAGGAAGGACGTACGATCGCGATAGGAGGCGACATGGCGGCCTCGCAGAGTGTGAAGGAGGGGGCACTCTGTCGTTTTCGACTGCAATGGGGAGAACTTGCGCCGCCAAGGCGGCGCCATCCTACTTATACGCCGGAGGTAATTACCGTGTTGGTCCCAGTCATATCGAAGAATGACGAACTATCGACCTCCGGATATGAGATCTAAAGTGAATTGTTTCAAGCGAGGGGATAGGGTATCACTAGGCCCAAGCGTTCACGGACAATTAACGTAGATCGTGGTACACAATCAACAAAGGAACACGCCCAGATCTGGCTCTCCTTGCGGAGTTTCAAATGCTCCCACAGTCCGGCGCTGCCCGGTGCGTTGGCCCAATGCCGAACTGAATGCCGTCTCCTCAAGTCTCTCACAACAATAAGGAAAAAAGGAGGCTGGACAGGGACGGCCACGCCCTCCGGCCTTCGGTGCGATTTTGTCTCACAGGTTGCCCGAAACCGCAGGTTCACCGTGGCCCTGCATCCGAATCTTACGGAGACGCCGAGCAGTGAAACTACGCGAAATTTTGGCGAAACTGCAGCGCCTAGTCGCCGCGCATTTACATCGCACCTGAGATCACTTGCTGTCCTTTCCATATTGATTTTGGCGTCCGCGAAATTATTCCCCCCTACCGACCCTCATTGCGGAGACAAATGGGCATCTATATTTGCTTCCTGTAGCTGAGGCAGTCTTCGGGGTCCCTTCCCGATACATATGATGCCGTTTTAGGTGAATTGATATTTTCTCATTGACCGCCAACGGCCCTGTAATTCCCGCCTTGTTTACATTTGAGACTCTTCACTCTTATTGTTCGCCAATTATTGGAACCGTGTCCTCCAACACCGAAATGCACCGTCTTCCAGTTCCACGCGTGGGCCATTGGGAATAACCTCGGCACTGGCGTTCGCTTCACTCTTCAGACTGGGGCTCACTCGGGTGCTGCTAGCTTCTGCTTGGTGCATGGTCGAAACACGGACGATTGGATGCTATTATTGCCCGTCACCTAAGCAGATTTTGGTTTCACAGCCGTACACGCACGCGGGCTCCCCAACGACCGCCAATCCCACGATCGAAAAGTCTAACCGCTGGCCAGATCTTGCTCCACTGGGGCCAAATGGAGGCTCGTGCCTGGAGCCACGACCTTCGTCGGAAGTCCGTCCTTACGAAAGCCATGAATAGCCTCAAAAGGTATCTCGAAAGACATAAATGATCCCAACAACGACCTGCGAATGTCCTTCTCCAAAGAAAAGGACATATAAGTCTTGAAACAGCATCCTCGTCACAGCTGGATCCTTCCGGCACATCTTCTTTTCGCATATTATGGCTCCAAAGACCATGAAAGGCGTCGTTACCACTGGTGATGGAAAATTCGAACTGAGGCTAATTCCGACTCCTTCCCCGGGACCTAACGAGATTCTGGTCAAGGTTGAAGCCTGCGCGCAAAATCACACCGATTGTAAGTCCTTCTCACGAGGAACCGCCATCGAAGTGGGAAGGCTCTGAGCTCACGTAGCTTACTCTCACCAGGGAAGTCCATCATCCTGCACAAGCAGCCCGGAAACATCGTGGGTTCTGACTTCGCCGGTACCGTCGTCGCGCTAGGTTCTGCGGTTCCCCATGGCCTGAGAAGGCTCGGGGAGCGCATCGCAGGTGCCGTACGTGGAAGTAAGAAATGAACCTTTCCTCCCCCGAACGCGTGAGCTGATGACGAACCCTTACGTTACCTTTCGCAGACATCAATCCGAACGGCGCATTCGCCGAGTACCTCGTCACTGACCCCTCTCTGATTTTCACGCTCCCGGAGGACGTCCCGTTCGAGGTCGGCGCCCAGCTTGGAGTCGCATGCTACGCAACATGTCAAGCGCTCTACCAGACCCTCCATTTCCCGACGCCCCTCGAACCTGCGTCGACGCCAACGGACATCCTTATTTGGTCTGGGACGTCCACGACGGGCCAGTACGCCGTCCAGTTCGCGAAGCTCTCGGGGCTGCGCGTCTTTTCCACCTGCTCCCCTGGCAACTTCGATCTCGTGCGCGCCATCGGTGCGACGCAAGTCTTCGACTACGCCGACTCTCGATCGCCCAAGCGCATCCTCGCCGCAACTTGCGCCGGGCTGCGTCACGCCGTCGACTGCGTCAGCGATGGGATGACTCCTGTGCAGGTCAGTAGCTGCCTCAGCAAGGAGGGCGGGACCATTGTCACCCTCCTGCCGTACGAAAGCCGCAAGAAGGGCGTCAAGACCGAGCTTGTGCTCGTCTATTCAATGTGGGGCCAGGTAAGCTTCGATGATCACTCCGTTTGAGCTTATGGCATTAAACAATGTCCTGGATGTCAGGATGTCGAGCTCCCGATGAAGATTAAGGGCAACCCCGAGCACTACGAGAACGCAGTCAAGTACAACGCCATGATCAGCGAGATGCTTGCCAGGAAGTTGCTGAAGTTCGGTGCGGTCAAAGTCTTCCCGAAAGGTTTGGCAAGTGTCGAAGAGGGCTTTGCGTATATGATGGCGGGAAAGGTACTGATTCCTTCCCTTACTATTTCATTTTCCATTACCAGGCTGACTATCCGTTCTAGATTCACGCAGAGAAGGTCGTTTACAAGGTTTCTGATACTCCTGATATCTCTTGACGGCAACGCCCTGCCACTTGCTTACGTTCTGTAGTAGAGTTTCTTACATTTCGATTAATGTATTTCCTTTGGTTTGCGACATGTATTGCAGGCGGTGATTACTTGAGACAGGGTTGTTCATAGTGCGTACAACATTTGGTGAACCAATCGACAGTCATTCGACCAAGTGAACGACGACTACAATTTGAATCTGTAAAGTAGTCCCCGCCTCTACTTGAGCGCTTATTATTCGGTGAGTGTTACACCAATTCAACTTCGCCTTCTTGAAGAAATGCTTCCTTTCCCATGTCATATAAGTATATTAGTCTCTGCCTTCTTCATTACGAGATAAAACAGAACCAATAAGCGGTAAATATCTCGACAAGTTATGAGATTCAAATACAACGCATAAGAATGATCGCGGAATTTTTGTAATATTCCACTGGAACTATGGCTCTCCTGAAACACGGTCTACCTAGCAATCGTACAAATTATCTTCCGTGCACCGATGAACGGATTTGACGGAGAAATTGGCCACACTATCAGCCATAAGTAATATTCCTGCGCCGCTCAATCTTAATTTTCAACGACGCTCAATCTACCCTGGCCCCAGACAGATCAAACAAAAGGGCAACCAGGTCTTCACGGCGTCGAGTTATCTAAAAATAACCCAAACGTACATAGCCTTCTGCCTTCTTTGCAGGGCTCAAACGAAGGATATCCCTGTTAGAAGAATCTGATTGTAAGGCGGAGCCGCTGGGGATCGTGGCTACAGTCTAAAAGTGCCGTCGTCGCACTCCTGGCGTGCTGAGGCAGCTATACATTCGTTGCAACGGAGCTGACCGATACTTCCTCTACCAGTAAGTACAAGTTTTGTTTTCCGGGACCAAATTTCGGTCATTACTTGCTCTTTTGAATATGCGAGGGTCCGAGAGGTCCGAGCTCGGCTAAGGAGGAAAGCCGATCCCGCGTCTGTCATCCCGCACGTGATGTACAAGCGCTGTTACCATGTCGGAAATTTCCGAAATGCCTTACAAGGCATTATTAGCGACGGCAGACATTTGCCTTACAACGCATTACAAGAGTTAGTTAGGCCAATTTTGTCCTGCCACTCTGAAAGTGGTATAAACAGGTGAAGTACATCTGATATATAACTCTGGTACTGTTTTTTCTCTAATATTCCTCACAGTCGCCGAAAAATAAAGGATTTTGTTGAACACCCCTATCTCGAACTGCCTTGTAAGATGCCGAAACGGCTTTTCGGCTTCTTGTGATGCCTTGGTAAGGCGTCTTCCTTGTAAGGCAATTTGGAAATTTCCGACACAAATTAGGCAAATCCCGCGCACTATAAACAGCTTGACTTCTGAAGGGCAAAAATAATCCTTTCTTGAAGGAAAGGGCTACAAAAAAGCACTATTGGGTTCTATTGCTCATTCCCTCACGGATTCTCTTGTAGCGCGTCGAGATGCTACATATGGACGGCGGCATTCCTCCAACAGCTAATAAGCAGCTACAGGGAGTACGGATTTTTGAGATGTGCCGTATCGGCATCTCCTGACTACTCATAACTTCTGTATACTCTGTAAAGAGCGAGAAGGCTAAGGACGCAGCTTATACGTAGGCACTAGAAGGCATATCAGCTGCTGGCTAATGGCCGCTGCCATTGAATTGCTCAAAAGGGCCGTGACGATCATGCAGGAGATAGCTACGGAATGGAAGAGAAAATATAATAGTGAAGTTGTACTCTTCACTCAAATACAGGGAATTTGGTTTAAGCTTTCAGGAGCTGGGAGTTTCTCACATCTCAACTTCGAGAAGCGTAACGTCCACGAGGATTCGGGATGTCGCCGCAGTGTCTTCTCAACGACCTTGACGATCCGCGCAAGAAGGTATGTACATGAGCTAAAAATAATCCGGTAGTTGTACGATGAAGCGCAACGGGTTCTATGTCATTTTCTGTGTTGAATACGGCACGGAAGAAGAGGTCCGTGTCCAGACGTGGTCTGTATCCGTTAGGGTAGGACCAGCGACGATGGAGAAGCGCACGGAGGTATCAAAATCGTGAACAGTAAGATGATGGGGAGCCCCGTGTTCCCAAGGCTTGCTTTCTTCTCGTGACCCCGCTGTCGTGCATTACCTGGCCAGGATCAAGTACTATCTCTAAAGAAGCAGACCTTGTAACTTCATGACTTCCTGTATCCCTTTTGCTAGGCAGTGAGTGACCGCTGAATCCAATCCTGAAGCTGGATGAGCCAACCTCGTCTGCGTCGCAAACCTCAAGACAGTCAGGGAACGAGTGGTGGCCTGTGGTCCTGCGAATGAGTTTCCTGTGTAAATAGGAAGCTTAAGGAACTTCATCTCGTAGAGCATTTATGTGGTGAAGGGCATGGTCACAGGTAATTCGTTTTCGTTTCCCGTTAATTTCTTACCTTCACGCAGTAAGGACGCCAAATCCTCTAAATCTTTCGACCTAATCACAAAGTCAATGCAATTACTCCGGACACTTGTCAAGTGTAAATTCTCTTCCCTTCGCACTCAGCGTGCCAGTGCCTGATTTTCAAGTTGATCTGTTGATTATCCCTGCCCGGCAAGAGGACAAGCTCCATGGGACCATCTCGCGGAGCTGCTCTAGGAACTAATAGTAGTCGGGTCATGTAGAACACGAGATGATTTTGTACCTCAAAATGTCAACATTTCCTGAAGATCGATGTCTAAGTATCGTATCCTACTGACCAGCTTCTCGACGACGAAATACGGAAGAGTATCTTTAATCTCCAGACTCTTGGAAGGTGCACTAAGCGCCTGCTGTCGAGCGTTGTGATGGATCGGCACACACAGGATGCCGCCTCAATAGAAGTCACCGCAATCGATGCACTAGCTAGCTCCTCGCGGGAGCTGAATTATATAGTATCTCTTCGCCCATAAGCTCAGTGCCATCTGTCCAGAGTGCCACAGTCGGCCTAAATTTGGCCGCTCGTCTATCACATCAGACAATGTACTCTCCGTCGTAAATGTGGGCGCTTGGGGAAAGCACCCTCTGTACCAACTCTACCTTCACAGTTATATAATCCATGAAAGGTATGGATGAGGGGGAGTTTAATTTGGAAAGCCGGAGGGCGGTGAATGTGATGAAGGCTTTGCAACAGGGATTTTCTGCTAAACAATATTCCGTTGGCATCCAATGGGTCTTTGACCGACTATTTCTTTGCCCATAGGCCGCTCACTGTTCGCCATTGGCGCCTCGCTCGTGCTGCGTTAGTATGGCTCTCTGTCATGCCAGTCGAACAGCGGGCGTCGCCGATTAGTCTTGTCCATCGCGAAGCTGTTGTATTGTGGGCGCTTGTGAGAAAGTTTTTCCTTCCCGAAGTCTTTCGAACTTTAAACCAGCTATCTACGAAGAAATTTGGAATAAAGCACTTCTACTTCTCGGTCCCTTCTTCAGAACATAAAGAGCCTATCGAGGGCTTCACGGCGTATTAAGGATGGAGGAGAGCGTCGACACTTGACGGTCCCTGACTGTGCCTCCGGACGGTCATCTATCAGCCACTGCTGTTTCAGAGGGGCAAGTATAATGCGTTTGTAGGTGTCCCGTCCTGACCTTCGATACCTTGTTGATACCACCCAAACCTCCGAGCAAGGAGTTCTTTGATTGAGTGGTGCGCCCACATTTGATTCGCGTTGTGGCGTCTCGCGGAAAGATCTATTGGCGCCTGTCATCTCGAAACCATATCGACATCTCATGATGAAGAAACTCGGGGAATCTTGTTCTCTTTCCTCCGACTTCCTGCTCGAGACAGAGGCGCTCGGCGTGTATAAGGTAAAGCTAGCTTGGAGCGCCTTTGCGTGGCTCCGACTCGGGCACGAAGTAAGACTCCAGCGCTGTTGATAGTGAAGGACGACTTCATCAAGGACAAAGAAAATCACCGACTTGGCAAGTACCATTCTAAGGTATCCTTGTATTTTTGGCTTGATGAACCCCACATCGACAGTCTATTTCCGAATAACAGACCAAAGTAAAAACTCCTAAACGTAAATCACACCCCTCGCTCACTCCAGATATATTCGACGTGGTGGCACCGGAAGAGACTTGGAGTATGAACCGCTCTAGACGACAACGTGCTAGACGAATGTATTTCTGGGTATCTATATAAATCCATCCTTAACTATACATTCCGTTTTTTTTTGTGCTACGCCGTATCCGAGTCCATCGGGAGAAAGCTGTCACGTACACTAAGCTCCCACCAACTTTGATACAACGTCAAACCATACCCCTCCAGGCTGCCTCACGAAGCCCGGCAAAGGCGGCTATAAATAGTGAAAGAGAGTGAGGCACCCCTCGCACAAAAGGGTGAGCAGTACAAGCGCACCGCCGACCAGGCCTCCACAGGCCCCAAACACGCAAGAGAAAAAAATTTACACCATGTTATTCTGCCCCCTTCCGTACGCCTCCTTGTACTCCTTGTTGTCCTCGGAGTGGTCGGAGTGGTCGTAATCATGCTCGATAGTCTTGGTGATCGCGACGCCGTTGACGTCCCCATGCATATGCATGTCGTTGACGGTGGTGCTAGCGTGGTTGGGCGTTTTTCGGAGGGAGAGGGGGATGACGGAGGGCTGCGAACGGTCGTCGCGCGTGGACATGAGTTTGCTCGTCGAGAGCGCCGTCTCCCTGAACACGCCGAACTTGGTGTTCCGGAACACGCGGCACGCCATGATGTTCATGAGCGCGATGTTGGGGACGGTGAACATCGTCCGGTATGTGATCGGGACGGAGTAGATGTACAGCATGATCACTGTCAGCAAGTTGGTTGAGACAGTCGTCCTGCATCCTGGGCGTCAGCGGGGAACGAGGGATTAATATGGGAAGAATGGCTCACAGGTAGTAAATCTGCCCGTCCTGGAACAAGGTCTTGGAGAAGGCAGGCAGGTAGTCACCGGAGACAATCGTCTTGATACCGTTCCGGAGGTTATACTCGACGTGAGTGTTGGTCATCAGGCGGACCGAAATGGCGAAGAAGACGAGGGTATCGTTAACCAGGGGGATAATGGCAGCGGCGGCGACGTAGTCCTCAAGGGCGAAATTGAGGCAGTACTTGGTCGGACCAATGTTAATACCGGTGACGCCGCGAGTAACGGTGATGCATCCACCGAGGACCGCGAGCCACATGAACGCGAAGAACGCGACGACGACCTTGTTCCTATCGAAGATGGCTCGTACGCGGAAGAAGAAGAGGAGGGATGTCGCAGGGATGGCTACGGGGTACAGTCCACACAGGATCTTCTCGAACAGTGCGCAGTTGTCTGCGGGGTATGCTGCAGGACGAAATTTGAGCAAGGACGCAAAGAAAAAGATAAGGACGAGCACTCACTCTCGAAGATTGTACTGCACAGCACATATGCTAAGGACCCAACGCTGTAATTTATCAATGTCAATATAATTCATATGGCATCACAGAGATATCCCTTACCGGGATATGAAGTACGCGATCGTAGGCAGACCAATACGATATTTGGTCAGAAGCCTATAATCCGACGACAGGTTATTGAGGATATCCCAAATCAGCACCTATGCGACCGTAAGTCAGAAGCGTTCATGGCAGAAAGAGTAAGTCCTCACCCCAAGCGACCCCACCAGAATATAACTTGCGACGGTGACCTGGAACGCAATGTCCGGGGGCAAGAACGCCATCGGCGTGAAGGGGTTGGGGAGCTGTTGGGATGGGTCGGCCATGGTGAGGGGATGGTATCGGACATGGCTGGAAAGCGCAGGTCTTATGTATCCTCCATGCCGTGACAGCGAAAAGGGCACCACCGATTGGGATACATACCGAATAGGACTAATACGTACCCGTCATCAAAGTCGCTAGAACTTCTCAAGAGGTGTGCCTTCTTCATGCCGACACGATCTGTACATGCCATACCGCAGGCAAAGTCGACTGAGCCTTCCAAGTTCCAATCAGACCGAATAAGTAAACTGGGGTGCAGGCTCTCGTCCAAGAAGTATGTTGTGGGTGAATGGGCAGTCCAAAATCAGCAAAGTTGGTGGCGACTTACCTCCATGTTACCTGGCGGTGTAAGAAAGGGTCACTGATCCGTGGAACGCTTTTGGGAAGAACCGTTTTTTTCTGCGACTTTGCTTGACAAAACCTGATGTTTTTTTCTTCGAGGAACGCCGCTGAAGTGCTAGCTTGATGAGATTCTGTTCTGATGCAAAGATAGGGCCGGACATGCTGTGAACCTCGACACGTCCAGAGCTTTGTCTGTGGGGAAGAAGTTGGAACTTATCAGAGGATTCACACTGGACGCTCTCTCGTCCAAACTTGTACTCTATTCGTTGACTTTCTGTACCTTCGTTCAATACAAAACGCGATCATGGGCGTCGTTGGGATGAGAAGGACTAGTGCAAAAGCAGTCTTCGACGCTTGAAGGAGGACAAAGGGATCAACAAGTCAAGCAAGTGCAGAAGAGATCAGGATTTGGTAAGCGCGGCTCGGCGCCTTTGACCCTGCGATTTGCCGTGATCGCGGCAAGTCGATGCAGACAGCGCCTGCAGTCGAAGCTCTTAACCTACATCGATTGCTGATTTTTTACTGGGTTACGCTCCATGTTCTGGAAGGGCTTTAGAACCTGTGTGTCCTTGTGGAACGTCCAGACGTGCTAAAAGTTCTGAGGAAGTCAACATTCGTTTGAAATCGCCTGTGAAAAGCACCCAGACTTGGTGCACAAGTGCTGTAGCAACTCGTGTTACAAGTACAGCCTGTATACCTTTCTTCCGGTGCAGTACTTCCAAAGCTATCTTCCACCCGCAACAGAAGACGATTTCCATCGCGAGGAGGACGATTGGGTGCAATTCCCACCTCCACGACCTGCGGTCGGCGGGCCCCGAGTTAGCACCAGGTTCGCAGGAAGGAGTGATTCTGATAGACAGGTTACGGCAGAGTGCTAAAATTAGTGGGCTTCTCTCCCATGTCACCCACCTCTTCTTGTGTGCGCTCGAGGTGTGCCCATGAACGCACATCACATGTAGTGTGGCGCACTTGCTCTTCAGCGCTCAAAATCGACACCCAACTCGAAGATAAATGCCACCAGAGGATAATTGAACCTTTAATTTACCTCCGAGTCGGAATAGCCTTCGGAGAACAGTTTCCCCGGCTGTCGAATACTCCGCCAGGGACGCTCCAACGAAAAAAAAAAGATCGGAGAACACGCCAAATGCATGTATTACAAATGCCAGTAAAAAACATTAAGCTCAGTAAAATAAAACGCCCAAGCGAACTTGTAGACGAAATGCGAAGAGAGACTTGTATGGATGAGAACTTGAGAAGATGCGAATGGAACGTACACTGACAAAGATCCTTACGGCGCAGCGACCAAGATCTCCGTCTCGCCTTCCACGACCTCCTCAACCTTGATCAAACCGAGCTCCCCAACCTTCACGTTCGCGCGATATCCAAGCAACGGGTTACGGCCCAGGTTGGTGGCCTCCACGTCCTCCCCAAAGACCTTGAGCGCGTCGAACTTCCTCAGCACCCTCTCGCCCTCGGTATCGCCCTTGGTCATCTCCTCGATCTGGTCCTTGCCGAGGACGGGCGCCTGCATCTTGACGAGGTCGACACCGTAGCGCTGGCGCGCGGCGAGCACATGCTCCTCGTCGACGAGCGGGTCGAAGAAGCTCTGGCAGATCTCCATCACGTCCGCCACCTGCTTGTCGGCGAGCTTCTTCTGGCTGTCAGCGAGCCCGAAGATCACTGTATGGGAACGTTACAGAAGCAGAATTATGAGTGCCGGTTGCAGAAGCGAGAAAGAACGGCACGACGCACCGGGCCTGAACATGTCGAACGCGGTGTCGAAGTTGTCCGTGTCTTGGGCACCGATGATGGTCTCAGACTGAAGGTGCATCTGCTTGTACGCGCTGAGGACGACGAAGAGGAAGCTGGAAAGCCAATGTTAGAATATTGGAAAAATGGGACAAGGTCAAAGATGCTTACCGCGTGTGCGCGATGCCGACCTTGGCGTCGTGCCAAAGCTGAGCGGTCTTCTCATCGATCTGGCCCTTAATCGTGGCACAGATAGTCGTAGCGGCCGACAGGGCGCCGGTCATTCCAATATGGACGCCAGAAGAGAAGAAGGGATCGACGAAGTCTAATAATACCATCGTTCATCGGCATTCCTCACAAACGTCAACTAAGCACCGATGACTTACTGGCAGCGTCTCCGATAATCCTGAAGTGGTCGCCCGAGTACTGCGTCGCCGAGTAGCTGAAGTCGGACGTGCTCTTGGTCGAGCCAGGGATGAAGTTGCCCTTCTCGCCGATGAGCTTGCGCACGCCGGGGACGTACTGGAGTTGGTCGAGGTAGTGGTCGGTGAGCGACATCTTCGTGCCATCGGGCTTGAGCAGCGCCTTCTTCTTGTTCGAGTAGGACTGGTGCATGACGATGCCGACGGAGGTGGTGCCGTCGTGGAGGGGAATGATCCAGGCCCAACCGGTCTCGTCTACATCGAAAGGAGAATAAATAAATGGGAAGGAAAAAATAAAGCAAAGGACGCGCCGTTCAAAGCCTCAAACCACGCAGAGTTCGCCTTCTTCGTGCCCACCCCATAGCGGCTCACATCGTTCCAGTAGCCCCAAACTGCTACGTTCCTGAGGTTCTCGCGCATCTGGCGGTTTTGGAGGTACTTGGTCGACATGATGCCATTGCGGCCCGAGGCGTCGACGAGCCAGTCGAACGCGATGTTGCCCTTGGTGCCGTCTTTCTTGGTGTAGTTGGCGGAGAGCGGGCGCGAGGTCTTGGGATCGCCCTCGAACTCGATCGACTCGACCTTGGTCTCCTCGAAGACTTGCACATCTTCCTTTTGTGAGTGGCGAAGGAGGACTTCGTCCATCTCCGAACGGATCTGGATGGGGAATTAATTAGTGATTGGAGAAAGGATTGAAAGGAACGTACGACGTTCCATGTAGCGTAGCCGGGGCCGAGAGCAGTGAAGTCGGTCCCTAAGATGGAACGAATCGATAAGGGATGTGATGAAGATAAAGGTATAAGACGTACAGCTCTCGCGAAGAGTTGGAACGAGCTTGAAGCACGCGCCGGGCTACGTAAATATGTCAGTACGGCACTCGCATCCCTGAGGGAGAAAAAAATACCTTGTTCAAGAACCCATGGTTGGTGAACGTCTCCTCAACTCCCAAGAACTTCAAGTAGTTGCGGAGGGATGGCAGCATCGACTCCCCGACGTGGTACCTAGCACATACGCCATCAGTGAGACGATCATGTGATGGCAGAATATAGAAATAAATTCCTACCTTGGAAACTTGGACGACTCGAGCAAAGTGACTTCATGGCCCTCGTGTCTAAGCATCGTGGCGGCGCTGGAGCCGGCGGGGCCGCCTCCGACGACGAGGACGGTAGTCTTCCTGGGCTAGAGAAGAGAACGGGATACGATGAGCACATCGCCTCGTGCAACGATGAAGAGAGGAGCGTACGATTTCGGTAGCAGACATGGCGATTTTAGTTGTCGACGAAGTGGGGGAAACGTCTGAAATTCAAAACGAAGAAGTCCGTCCTTCATATACCCTCCCCAATCCCCTGCAAATTACTATAATGGAGCCAGGACTTGACGTTTGATCCCAGGAGCGCCATGTTTCTCAAGCACAAGGCAAATGGATGTCTCACGCTAATTAGGTCCCTCATCAACCAGATCCCAGCGGAATACAGAATGGAGAAGGCCAAGGCGTCTTTTGCGGGTGGGCTAGGGTCCTCCCGGACTTGCGCCTGCGGGTCGTTGCTGTGGGATCTTGGATTCAATCGCATTCGCCGAGTCACGCTCGCTCTGGCCTCTCGCTCGCGCTATTGTTCTCGCATTTACTGAATGATCGGATATGCCCGACCCTGTTGCTGGATTGTTGGAGCTGCGAAATTGATTATTGCACGCACGCCCAGATCTCGTGTGAGGCGGGTCCGTCGCGCTTAATAGGATCGCAAACTAGATCGCAATAACGGGAACGACGGAGTCAATCTATGCAGGCGTTTCACGCTGGTTTCCTAGCCGTAACTTACCTCAATGGAGGAATACGACGACACAGGAGGCTGGAAGGTCGCGCACAGCGTGCCACGATGCTGATCTCTGCGCTGGCGTTGGGTCCCCCAAGCCCCTAGCCGGGAGCACGAAGGTCTTTGATCAGTGGGAGGGCTATTGTTGTCCGGCGCCAGCGGTGGTGATGGACGGAAGACAACCTATGCGGGGCTATTTGGCCATATGTGTCCAACAGAACCAAACCCAATGTCGGCTGTCGGCAGTCCCCGGGGTCTTCCATTTCCTCATTTGGCCCTCCCGAGTATCATTCCAACCCTGATCCACGGAAACGTGGTCGTTGCTGTAACATTTTCCCGCTCGGTAACGTTTGCAGCGGCTCGTCTACGACAAGCAGTTTCAGGCTATAGACCTTCCCCAAAAATCCCATACATTTTGCCGCGGCGTTGGGAAAACTTGCACCGACTGCGATGGACGGGTCTATGGGATGATGAGATTCGAGATAATGCCGCAGGAAGTGCAACGAGCGGTATTTATGAACTCTTCATATTGATTTTTGATGCTCGAGCTTCGATTGCTAGGGAAGGGAAGGAGTCAAGGAGTCACGAAACATATCCCTAATAATAGTTGGACAAGTTCACAGCGTTCTCCCACTCGCTGCGTTCCGAGTCCACCATGTCCGCTGGGTCGTCAACAGCAGCGAACTCGAAGGAAAGGCTGGAAAGCGCTCCTCAGGCTTCAGCTTCAGCAGCCGAAAACGAAACGAGCCCGTTTGTAGCGCTGAAGGACCTACCCAACTTCCGCAAGGTCCTCGTTTTAGTCGTCCTCTGCTCCGCCTTGTTTCTGGACACGTTCAATAATTCATCTCTGTTCGCCGCCATCCCGCCGATCGCGCTCCAACTCGACATCCCGAACAGCCAGAGCGTATGGCTTCTCGGCGCGTACCAGCTAACATTTGCCGCCCTGCTCCTCGTTGTACGCTTTCCTCCTTCAGACTCGCCCTAAAAATAAATCAATTAATCCACAACAATTACCAGAGCGGTCGAGTTAGCGATCTGTACAACCCAAGTGCGTGCACCCCCTCCTGCACGAGTCTTGCTCCCGGGCGTTAATCAGTACTTTTCAAGAATGGGTATTCATTGTTGGAGCGGCCACGATGGGTATCTTCGCCCTCGTCGCAGGCTTCATCCGGAACGAGATAGCGCTGATCGTCCTCCGGGCTCTTATGGGCGCAGGTCAGTGCACATCCTCTTTTATTCTAAGGATTTCGAAGCAACAGGGTCCAACAACATCGTCATTTGCAGGCGGCGCGTTGACCATCCCCTCGGCGCAACACCTTATTGTTCACATGTACCCCGATCCGGCAGAGCAGGCCAAAGCGATCGCCGTATTCGGCGGCATGGGCGGCATTGGCATTGGCGAGTTCATGTTCTGTGCCCTGTGCAGTGGCAATCCTTCATTCAAACCCTAAACGCTAATACTCCTGATGCATAATTCATATCTCTAATCCGAATTTCATGATGGTCTAGTTATCGGTCTGATAATCGGCGCGCTTTTTGTCTCGTACGCGTCCTGGCCTTGGGTCTTCTATTTCAGCGCTATCGTGTCCACGGTCATCACCGTCGCGCTGTTCATTCTCGTGCCGAACATTCAGCGCACGGGACTGCATGAGTCGCGCGCCGCCAAGTTCTTACGGTTCAAGCGCCTCGACTTGGTGGGCGTAGGAGCATTCACCGGTATGTCCCTGAACGACGTCGACGTCATTGTTGCCAGAAGACCAGCTGATACTTTAGGATTGTGCGTGTGTAGCATCGTTGGTGTTGTTCATCTTCGCCGTCACTTCGGGCTCGATAGATGGATGGGGTTCTGCGAAGGTCCTTGCACCCCTTGTTATTTCGGTCTTCTTGATGGTTCTCTTCTTCGGGTGGGAGGCGTACCTCCCTGAATCGTACGCTGCCTTGTAAGTGCGAACTCAGATGAATGCTAAAGGACTTCCCAAACTAATTACTCTGCAACCGTGCAAATAATTCAGACCACCGAAGATGTGGAGATACGACAACGTCATCATCCTGACGGTCATCTCCCTCGTACCTTTCATGTGGTGGGGGTCCATCTTCCCTCTCTTTTCCTGGCTTTGGGAAGTCGTCTACGGCTGGTCCGCAATAACGACCGCAGTACACTTGTACGTCCTTCAGCATCTCCTTCCGGCTTCACAAATCTTCTATTTACCTTGCATTATTTCCACAGCCTCCCAGTCGCCCTCGGGATCTTCCCGGCCCTCCCGCTCGCCGCCGTCCTTCAATCCAAGTGGCGCCTGAAATGGGTCATCCTCCTCGGCTTCGTCCTCCTGCTCACCGGTACGATCCTGCTCCCATTCGGCGACTCCCGAGAGCGCTACTGGCGGTTTGTGTTCCCGGGCTTCCTCCTAGGCACAGCCGGCGCTGCGCTCATTTACGCCACGACAAAGTGAGTTCCAGCCGTCTTTTGAAGTGTGAAGTGGTAGTTCCGCCTTCCGGTCGTTCGGGCCTCGAGTGTCCGGTGCTCCAGCATGCCAATGTCATTGTTAGACTTAGTGCGAGACGAGACGAGACAAGACAGCTGACCTGAGTCTGACCATCCCTCTTCCTTTCCCTCTTACCTTTATTGACCGTTTTTATTGACCGCTATCGCCCCCTCACAGCATCGCACTCCTCGCCAACACGCCACCCGAAGTCTCCGGTATCGTCTCCGCCGTGTTCGTCTCCGTTCTCCAAACCGGAGCAGCGACCGGACTCGCCATCGTGACCTCGATCCAGACGAGCATCGAGCAGAAGAATGGAGACCCGACGGGCTTTGAAGGACGTGCGGCTGGCCTGTGGTTCCTTGTGGCGTTCATTGGCACGGTCATGCTCCTGTTCGTGGTGTTCATGAAGAATTCGGTCGGCCCGGTTGGTGCGAGCTTGGAGGAGACTGAGGTGGGAGAGAAGGATGTTGTCGAGAAAGAGAAGAGTGAGGTGTGAAGGGATTGTACCGGAGGCGTTCTTTGTTATTTCAGTATATAGACCATTTATTATTCGTATATAGTTGCTGCTTATTAGCTATTTTATTGCTTTCGAATGTTATCCAAATATTATCCCTTGCCCGTTATTCCCTCAGTTTCAATCGGGACGCTCAAGGAAAGCTATTATCCAGACATCAGTGATTTCTCCACATCATGAAACTGCAGGAGCCACCGTCGAGTGATTTATCTCTCCTCTGGCAATGACTACAAATCCAGGGCGCTACCCTCCGTGTCCGACTTGTCCTTCCCGTCGCCAGATATGTGTGCCCACTTGTTTAAAAAAGACTGGTCAGCGCTTGCTACTTACGATATCGCGTCAACTCTCGGAGCGCGTCCTGAATACACTGGCCCCTTTCGCAGCGCCATGGTAAGTCAGCATAACTTACCTTGCGCACCCTCGAAAATTGAACAAAGCAAACTCTGCTCCTTATCAGTCGAGTCTCCGGCTCACTTGATTCGTAAAATCAAACACTGGTGGTAGGTTTCATAGCATCATCGATTCCAAAGATGAGTAGGTATATATGTACATGTTCCAATTCTATAAACTATCCGAATAAATCTAGATTCACTACGCTTATGCACATTTTTCAACGACGAATCATCTTCGAAGAATTTTGCAGGAGGCTTGACGTAGCACAGCGGCCGAGCCGAGGAAGGCGGGGGGTAATATGCAAAATCTCTTCTAGAGTCCGTTCATTGCATGCAGTGGAGGAGTAAGTAGGGTAAAAAGAATGAGGGTATTAAACGAGTGTGGATGTTGTTAATACGAGTTGGACGATAAAAGCAAGAAGGGAAGATGAAGGGGGAAAAGAGAAGATTTACTCAATGGCAGTGGACGCTTCAGCGAGCAGTGCTTGCGCCTGTGCAGATCGGGGGCGCAGCCTGACAGGGAATGCCTCCGGGAATCTAAAAATAGCATCGGTTAGCGCCAGCCCGAAACACCACACCAGCGCCGAAACAACAAAAAAGCACGACATACGTGATAGTACCGGGCGTGTATTTGTACTTGGGCATAACCTCCTTCCCATTCTCATCGAGCCCAGGGAGGATATCGCAGGTGGCGAGGGTGGTAGCGACGATGGCGAAGAGGGTGCCCTCGGCAAAGTGCTTTCCAGGGCAGAAGCGCCGTCCGAAGCCGAACGTCAGGTCTTTGACTTTCTCCATCTCCGCGTCGTCGTTGTTGAAACGCTCCGGATAGAATTCCATGGGGTTGGCGTACACCTCGGGGTCGTGCAGCATGTGCCTATGGGCCCAGGTGTAAGTAAATAGACAGAATGATGAGCGGGAACGTTTCGAAGTTGTACGTACCAGACGTTGGGCATAATCAGAGCACCTTTGGGAAGGAAGACTCCCTCGTAGACATCATCCTGACTCAGCGCATGAGGAATACCTATAATTGTATATAATTAATGCCGTCGGGTTAAGTCATGAGATAAAGCACACTTACACATAGGAATAGCGGGGCTGTAACGGAAGATTTCAGCAATAATGCTTCGAATGTACGGCAGGTTCTCGCGGTCGTTGATCGTCGGCAATCTATCCTTTCCAACCACAGCATCGAGCTCAGCCTGGGCCTTCGCCTGAACGCGCGGGTTAAGAATCATAGCCATGTAGAACGTCAGTGCCGAAGACATGTTCTGTCAAACGCACTAGTCGGTGGGGGCACCAATTGGTTATACTAAAAACTCACGGTATCCAAACCGCCACCCATAACACTGGAGGCGGCCCAGACTAATTTGTCCTCTTCGTCTTGGGTCATCTCACCGCAGGACTCCGAAATGAAGTTTCCGCAGAGGTTGGGCATCAATGTCTTGCCAGTTTCCTGCCATATTCATCGAACGTTGAGCGAAAACATGCATGTAGATTTCCGAGACGACTGACCAAGTTCTTCTTGCACCAGTCATAAGGATTCCAAGAGGCATCCCAAACGATCTTTCGCCATTCTTTGGCAGTCTTCAAGAATCCAGATCCAGGCATCCAGGCAGGAATGTGTTTCACTGGCTCATCGTCAGCGGCGTTAAGAAAGGTGCGGAAAGAAAGGACGGACAAATTGGAATAAAGTCAACCAAGAAGTTTCCTGGCGAAGTCGAATAGCTGAAGTTGTCCATGGCCGTGAGAGGGGTCGTAAGGATGGGGTCGTTCTCCGACTGGATGTAGTAGCCATAAGTGACGCGAATAATGATAATGCCGATCCGCCTGTTCGGATAGGTCAGATCGATGAACAAACTGGAAAACAGATAACCTTACAGCTTGATTTGCGACACGAGCGAGGAAGGGTCCTTGAGGACATTGCGGACAAGGATGCGAGCCTCCTTCTCTTGCAGGGAATGGTACCGGGGAGCCATGGCTTGTCCGAAGTCGTGCGCTACCAGGCGACGCTGCTTCCGCCAATTGTCGCCATAGGGTTGCAGCACGAACGTCTCACCGTACCCGATACTTCGAGGCGTTCAGACAAGTGTTTGGCAGAGTGGCACAGATAACTTACAGATCGCACGCCATGACCTAGACGAACGGTCAGCTGCAAAATTAGAACAGAGCTTCGAATTCACTCACGAAGTGGGGGCGATCGGAGTAGATATTTGACCATCTATCCAAGAGGTCCTCTCGCAA